CTTTTCGTCTCTCTGGGAGTATTTTGCTTGTAGGATGAAATGAGCACTCTGTCACCTCCCACCCCTTTCCACCACTTGCTGCAGAAGGGTGAAACAAAAACCAATGTTTGAGGACGCCTGTTTCCAAAGATAGCTCGCTAGCTATCTCAGATAGATGGGTAGAAAACGGTCAATAAAGGTGATTGTATTGCTAATTCTGAATATTGCAGCAGGAATCATCACTCATCAGACCAGGGAACCTTTTGCAACCTAGATTCCTAAATTCATCAAATTTGTGTTTGTGTTAGGAAGTACTTGTTTAGTTCAGTTGTTCTCAATGATTAGTGAGTCAGGCATAAATAATATTTCATCTCATGCTGCCTGATGCAGATTTACTTACCTCAGAATACTGAATGCTTGAAGTGTTTTAAGCATTTAAAGATACAAATATACTGTAAGAAGGAACTTTGTCTCTTCCTCCACATTGGAACATATCAGCATCTTCAAATCTTGAAAGGAATGAAGTTACTTCAGTAAAAATAAAAAAAAATCCACACAAAGTGTCTGGTCTTAATTATAATTTTATAAATCCTAAACACATCGTACTTTTCTATTTTAGATACACATAAGAGGACACATACTCTGCAAATTCTTACTTTGAATGAGGGTTAGCTAATGCCATATTTCACTTATTGACTCAGCAGCTTCATGGGGTCTGTACTTTGCGTTTTGTATTCACAAAAATCCTTTCAGTATTTCAGCAGAAGCTAATTCAAATATTTAGGATGATGGACCATTTTGGCCTAATGGTGTAAAAATTTGGCAAATTAAACACTTGCAAATGGAATAAAAAGGAATTTGTTTGATTGAAACGTCGGTAGGCGAGTTCATCGGCAGGTAAAATGTCATTATGTGATCAAAGATATGGCTTATCACACATTTTATTTTCAGACATACAAAATATCTAAGGTTTATAAATCTACATGTATCCACACACTGTCTGCTACTAAAACAAATAATTACCCGTGTGTGTCGTGTTCAGATCAAACCTCCTGCTATCAATTTCTTGTGTTGCTGAGTAACAAGGAGGGGTTTTCAGACATGTCCTTTTTTTTATTTTTTAGATATGAGAAAAAAATGCTTTAGAAATGAAGAGGGACGGGGTATTTAAAAAGATTGTCCAACTCCTTCAGAACGACTCGGTGTTTGCTAGACATGTCAACGCCTGTTGGTCCCTTGAGGCCAAAACCTTGATTTCTCCATCACATTTCTGCCTTGTGGCTGTCCACTCCCCTGGTGTCGTGGTTCTCTTAGCTCGGCTCCCATTGTGTGCTGTAATATTATAGCAACAATATGGCTGCCACCGAGTCTCCCCGCATCTGTCATACCCAGGAATGATAATGAGAGGCTTCAGGGCGCTTTGTTTTGAACGAATGACTGCACTTAAAGGAAAGTAAGGGGAACAGGATGACGAAGGAGAAAAGGGAAGCAGCTACGTTGTAATAATTAATAAATGACTGTGGCACTGAAGTCATTATGGGAGGCAATAACGGAAAGTGATGCTGCAAGGACAAGAAGGACGGAGACCAATGCACAAAATAAAGGTGCAGGGTCCAAATAAGCTGATGAGGAAGAGACGATAGTTTTTATTTTTTTGACCGGGTCGTCCTTTGTTTTCATCGGCCCATATCTGATGAGTCAGTTGACTGATGGTGGCCGGGTGGGTATCTCCTGGTGGTCTGCTGCTGATGAGTGGATTAACAGACGAACTAGCTGGCTGGAGGTCTATCCCCACTGGATCCCTGACTGACTGGTTGGCAACCCGCCTTCTGAAATATCTGGCTGCCTGTTGGATTTCTGAAGCAGAAACCAGCTGACCAGCTGCTTGACAGTGACTTGAGGAGCTGACTGATTGACTGACTGTCTCACTGACTGACTGACTCACTGACTGACTTACTACCTGACTAATTGATTGACTGACTGATTCACTGACTGACTGTCTCACTGACTAATTGACTGACTGACTTACTCACTGACTAATTGACTGACTGACTCACTGACTAATTGACTGACTGACTTACTCACTGACTAATTGACTGACTGACTGACTGACTAATTGACTGACTTACTCACTGACTAATTGACTGACTGACTGACTATTTGACTGACTGACTGACTCACTGACTAATTGATTGAATGACTGACTGACTGTCTCACTGACTCACTGACTAATTGACTGACTGACTCACTCACTGACTAATTGATTGACTGACTGACTGTCTCACTGACTCACTGACTGACTGACTGACTGACTCACTGACTCACTCACTCTGTCCTCTCTATGAGAGTCAAATCTGACTCTCTCCAGACTGCTAAGGCAACAACAACAAGCTTACATGTTGTAATGTTTGCCTGCTACAGCTAGCAGCTGAATAAAACTGAATATTTATAGAACAAATCTACTCAAAGCTGTTTAGGTTGTTGAACTTTTAAATCCAGGGAAACAGTAAACTTAGATTCATTTTTAGCTGCAAAACTGAGCTGAAAATACGGCATTTTTAGATCAGCTTAACATATTAGCAGCTTAAGATTTATAAAAATAGGGAGTGGTTTGATAAAACAAGAAGACTTAGGCAGTAATGCTCTGAAAATGACAGCCAGGATATAAAAAAAACAGCTTTCAGACGACTTGGCATAAGGTCTACTGGATGTTCTTTATTTTAGAGATATGAAAACTCTTATTTTTAAACGCTGGAGTTTGGCCGCATTGCCCTTTAGCCTTGTTCTAAAATGGCATTGCAGCTTTGTTCAATAAAAATCCTGCTAAGGAAAGAAAACGTCACACATCCTAACAAGCAGATGGCAACCTGCAGTAGAAATGAGCCAACTTTACTTGCATGCGGTGGCTAGCCTAACCGCCCTCGGGTAGAAACTACTCCAAAGTAACGCAGCAGCCAGACGACTTTTTTTGTTGTTGTTGTTTTGACTCCCCAGTAGGTTGTTGTTAACAACCTTATGCAATAGTTTTCAGTCACATTGGTTGATACGGAGTCTTTGTTTCTGCGAAAAAGAAAAGAAACCCCACCTCAAAGCATGTGTTGATGTTACTTAATTGAACACAGAGCTCTGCTTGTGCTTCTTCTTCTTGGGTTTCTTCCTGCATATTTGCATGGCACAAACTGCACAGAGAGGCCAAAGACTGGGTAATTAATACACATTGGCAAGAATGGGATTCTCGTGGTTTTAAAAACTTGAGTAAAAGCTGCTGCAGTGTTGATGCTGACTACAAATTACTCTCATTTTCCTGACTGTCTCTTTCCCTTCATCCCTCCATGTGAGATTTGCCATTTCAAATTCTTTTTACTTACAAAGATGTTGTTGGTGTACAGAATGTACATGTAGGGCACTTCAATGAACAGAAAATGAAACTGCAGAAATAAATGACCATATGAATTATTGTAGTAATTACGAAAAATACCAGTCTGAGTGTTTAAACCTATAGTTTGAAACCACAACATATGACATGATCGAATTGCATTCATTCAAGACTAAAACGCGTCAACCGATCACTTTTGCTAAAATACAACATTGATTTTTGAAATGATCGTCAACCACTTCAGAAATCAATTAATCGTTCACCAGAGAATACAAGCTATAAATAAAAAGACCACTTGGTGTGAAAAATACAACTGACTGTAAAATAAAATGTTTATTTTCTTATTTAAAAATTAGTTGAATTACTTGTTTTTTTCCATTTTTTAATGTGTTGCTAACATATTCTGATATTGCTACACAGATGTAAAGGAAGAACCCTCTAAATTTTGTATTAGTTTTCAAGGTGCTTATTGCAGAGAATATTATGGCTTCTGAAATTAGCAAGTTAGTTTTTCCCACTATCTGTTTGAAAAATAAACCATTTTAAAACTAAACACTTAGAACTGATGCTGCCTTTTTTACTTACAGTGTCTTGGTCAAACAGTACAGCACAGATGATTTAAGTGATTGTTTCTTCACTTTGATGGGGTCTGAGCTGACGATGCTGTCGCTTGTACAGGGAAAGGTTGTTTTGTACTCAATGATCTGCAAGTTCAACAGAGAAGGAACATCAGTAGTGATAAATGTCATAAAGTCCCAAGCCATGGTGTGAAAATCCAAATGTTTTTCTTCTTCAAATCCTCTGAGTTTTTGGATGTCGAAGCATGTACCGATCATTTGTAAATCGAAATGCGCTTGCCACGGTAAAAATGTCAAGTCTTGTTTGTCAGTTCGGTTGATCAAGCTCGGCCGCAGGGCAGCACCGAAAACTGTCGCCGGGCTTCAGTGACGAGGGAGCGATGGAGAAATAACCACTGGATCTTATTATGTTGTATGTAAAACCCAGAGAGACGATGGTTCTGTTTGGGTCTGTTATGAGTTTCAGCTGTTTGTTTGGAATGGAGGGACATAGTTCGGTTCCCTGTGTGGACCGGTTTTCCATAAACACACTGGAAAACAAGTTATGGGAAAAAATAAATACATTTTTTTTTTAAGTTTTCAGTGAAGAGGAGGAAGACCTTTTTCTATATAAATGACGGTTTCTCGCTAATCAATGAGGAACAAGCCTGAATTTGAGAGAAAAAAAAAATTTCTAGTCAATTATTATTTTTCTCAAATTTGGGCTTTGTGTGCTTCAGTAAAGGACAACATAACCATTTCTTTATCTTGAACTTATTTTAAAGACACAAAACCAGCAGAGATGGAGTACAAGGGAGTGTTTCATGCCTTTCTGTTCCCTCAAAAAGACAAATTTCAAGAGGATATTAAAGTTGATTTGAAAAGACAAGACAAAAGACAAAATTATGTTAAAAATGTCACCCAGTTCAGTTTTTAGTTTTTATTTTTGGGTTTTTTTGGTTCTCGAAGAAAGTTTTTGTTACTTTAACCACAAGAATGGAAATAACTTCTGAGATTGATGCGTAAAACAGGGAATTATAGTGATGTACTTTCAACGTGACATGACTGCATCTGTTATTCTTCCATAGGATGAAGAGGAGGAAATTAAGCTGGAAATCAACATGCTGAAGAAGTATTCACACCACAGAAATATAGCCACATACTATGGAGCTTTCATCAAGAAAAGTCCACCGGGCCACGATGACCAACTCTGGGTGAGTTGACCTCGTTAGTAACACTAAAAGTTCTGTACCATAAGCATATATATCTCCATTGGTGTTATATCCTGGGTCACGCTAATTTGCATACAGACTCCACAGATGCTGCCGCAGTGATGCTGTAATAAAATGATTAAACTCATGCCGTGCTGCACAGAGGCTCTGTCTGCGCTAGTGAGCAAAAAAAGAAGAAAAAATAGAGAGGAGATTCTCTGTAAAAATTTAATTCTGCATGTTAGCTCAAGTTTATCGTAAACATGTGCATTTCTATCAGGGCCCGCAAGTAGGAACTGGTGGAGTCAACCTGAGTTGGCAAAGACAGGCGGCGGTTTCTAGTTAATCTGGTTTCGGCTCAGGTGTTCAGTAAATACAGGCTGCATGATCAGGTGAATAAATGACACCACCGTGCTGTCAGATGACGCTTCCCCTTTCTTAGTTTATGAGCAGTGACAGCATAACTGGGTCATTTATTCGCAGGACGAGAGTCAACATTATCTAAGCTACCTAAAACATGTTCCCTTCATCTTTCAGGAAGTTGCATTTTAACACAAAGCTGCACGCTTTATTTGACGGGAACCTGGTGTAATGAATAACCGCAGTAAAACAATAGGCTGTTATGAAAAGAACTGGTTGTATAAAGGAACTTAAATCATTATTGTGGCACAGCAGCTGAATAAGAATAATGAGCATCAAAATGTTCATTTGGGATATTTTCAGCTGTTTTTATTCACTTCAGCTGTGTTTTATTAGTCGTAATGTAGAGTGGTGGTGTCATTTGAACTCTAGTGATAGATTACTCTCACAATAATGAGAAATAAATGAGCAGCGGTTTAATAGTCAAATCGTGTTGCTTGAACAGATTGGTGAAGCCTTTAATAATGAAATGATAAAATCCCCCATCTGGAAAAAGGGTTGCATTCAAGTCTGGTTTTAATGAGCTAATCAGTTAAACCAGACAACAGCCGAACAATGTTAGCTCAGTTTATATGACAGTAATAATTCCCAAAAAACAGATTTGCTTATTTATTTATTTAAAAAAAGGGGTTTTAATATAATTTAAATTAAACTGTTGTAGTAGAGAAGGGGAACAGCCATGAAATGTTTTATAAATCAAGACAGATTCTTGATTCTTTAAAATGTCAAAAAATCAAAACGTCTTTTAAGGTTCTGTCACACTTAAGAGACATGACAGAACCTAATACTCTCCAAATTCTCCTTCACTTTTTATTCATACTGAGAATCACATGCTGTCTTTTTTGATATGCTAGCAAACAGTGACAGCAGTTAAATAGCGAGGTCTGACGGGTTCGTATTGCTGATCATTTCTGAATTTAAGATCAGTTAGTGTCCTTCACATGTGAATGCTAACGAGAAAAACCGATTAACGGAGTTGCTTGTTCTATGACCAGTGGGAGCAATATTTCCGTTACCCCACAGCACAGCCATGTGTTTGTTTTCACAGCTGCTCCTTTAACCTCCTTTAACGGTTTCCACTCGTACATCACCATGCTGTCCACTGTGTGTGCATAGGAGGCACAAAGCCCCGAGTTTTATGATGATTATGTTGTTAAGTGAGCATCTCTGAAGATGCGGCTTCCTCTTCTGAGTGGAAGCACTTAGCGTCCTTGTGAGGCATCTTCAGGTTGACGTGTGGAGATGCAGAAAAGCACCACAGGCTTTTAAGTCACATATAACTTTTGGGTCTGTGCAAAAATGTAAGGGATAAAATGAAGAAGTAGCTGAAACAAAGTATTTCAAGCATATTTAAAGATCCTGATTTTTTTTATCCGAACATGTATGAGGTGATTGCAAAGGATTTCAACAGAAATTTGCTGGATTTGTTCTCTCATAGCTGAATGTGTGAAAGTTGTAGGATAAAAACAAAGCCAGGAGTAAAGTGAATGTCAAAGCATCTGAAAGTATGTTGAGGGCTCTAAGGTAGCATTTCTCTCAACAGGAAAAATAACCAAAAAAAATGTATGAAGCAGCAACTCTCACCAGGACAAACAACTCCAGTAAACGACCCAGATTTTACAGAGGAGGCAATTAAAAGGAAACTCTGCTTGGATTCATAATGAAGTGCTCCAGATAAGAAGGGCTGCTACCTGGCACGTCAGCATTTCTTGAGTATTTTAGAGTTTATAGGTGACAACAGTTCTGACGGGTTCAAGCCTGAAGTTTTGACAGTAATTTCTTAATTTGTCATGCTTTATTCCTCTGCTACAAAAAAAAAAGAACTCTATCTTGAAAGAATATTAAAAGGAGGCTTTGATTTGTTGCTGGAAAACTGAATCAGAAGAAGAGAATAACCTTAAAGTGTTGGATCTTTATGGTGTTAGACCAGTGGTCTCAAACTCCAGTACTTAAGGAGATGTGCCTTATTTCGTCCTACATTGAACAAATTAAACGACTAAACTGCCTCACTAGCATCCAGTCAGGCTGTAGAGAGCTCTGCTAACGAGCCGGTATTGGAGCCAGGTGTGTTGAAGCAGAGAGACATTTAAAAGTTGCGGGACAGCAGCTGTTTGAGACGACTGTGTTAGGCTGTCCACAAATTCTAGGAAAGTTGTAGATATTAACAAAACATAAACACGGCGTTTCTGGAATCCCTATAAAATAAACTGTACTAAGACTCAACATGGTGTTAAAATGGTAAATTTGTTTCTCCTTCTTTCATGCTAGTTTTCTTATTAGCACAAGAGCTCCAGTCTGAATTTAGCTAATTTTGACCTTAAGATCCAGATTTTGGCCAACTGGGATTAGGAGCAGAGGCAACACCATCATCAAGTTTATGTTTTTAGTTAACTTTAGCATCTTCTACTAGCAGTTTGTACGGTTAGCACGCCTAGCAACTAACTGTGCAAATGATTAAGGAGTTCACGTTTTTAGCTCGCATCTATTAGCGGTCGACATAATTTGAACAGTAATCTCGCTTGGTGCACCTCAGCTACAGATAGCACCCACCACAATCAGTTTGCTTACTCTTTAAAACCCACTGGTTTCTATTCAAATGCAAAGTTTTTAGGTGATGGCCGATGAAAGGACCAAAGGTGGAGAAAGGAGAGTGCTTATTTAGAGATTTGCATTGTTTTTCAGCTGAACTAGGCTATATTATTAGTTTAGTGAAAGGCAAATAAGTTGGGTGGTTTTGCCTTATTTCTTGACATGTTTGTTTTGGGGGAAACAAATCAACATTTAACTTTAGGTCATTTGAGAAGTGTCAGATAACGAAGGATCATCTCTAACTTGTTATCTGTACGTTCTGCCCTTCAGCTTGTCATGGAGTTCTGTGGCGCCGGCTCCATCACCGATCTGGTGAAAAACACCAAGGGCAACTCACTGAAGGAGGACTGGATCGCCTACATCTCCAGAGAGATCCTCAGGGTGCGCTACCAACACTTTCACTGCATTGTTCTCTGTCATAGGCTTTCCACATCATCATTTGTATATTACAAAAACAAAAAAAAACAAAAATCATATCTCCTTTTGATTTTGCACTAGATTTGCATTTGAACAAATAGCGAGTATGCAGTGGAAAATGTTCTTTGAGATACGCTCATGTTTTGTCATTTAAATTCTGTGTTTGTGCAGGGATTAGCTCACTTACATGCTCATCATGTGATCCACCGGGACATCAAGGGACAAAACGTGCTGCTGACTGAAAACGCTGAAGTCAAACTGGGTAAAAACGCTTTAAGATGACACCATCTGACCAGGCACTAAATGATCGATTTTGGCTCATTGGTTAAATGGTAACCAATTTTTTTATTTCATTAAAAAAAAAATCCTATTTTGGTCTTTTAACATTGTTGGTAATCTTCCAGTAGTCCATCTTATCTTCATTTCTCTAATTGTTTTCAATAAGATTACAGTGTATGATCAGAGGTACTCTCTGTGAACTCTCTGATTTCTGTCCTGTGACACAAAGTGGAGGCCATGTGTTTCCACTGCAGCTGCGATAAAACACTGGAATTTATCTTGTGTTTTAAAATATACAATATTTTGTAAATATAAGTCAGATAAAATCTGTTTATGTCTTACAGATATAAAGAGAGATAAAACTCCAGCTGTGTGTTAAGTAAAACTGGAATAAAATCTAATTTTATGTGCAGTTTTCACATCAAAACTGAATTCTTTTATTTTCACAATTCAGCACAGAAACTGAGAGGATAAACTTGCTTGTTCATATGTTTTATCAAGTAAAGTTAGAAAAGCGACAATTAAAATATTAAATGATCATGTAGGATTTTCTTCCACCTGTTTAATTCTCACCTGTTCTCAGAAAGTGAAATAAGTCTGAAGTGTTCATAGAAAACATTATTCACACTATGACTATGTCTTTCATTTTTCAAACCACTGCAAAGTCAATTTTCAGAAAAAACAGCATTTCTCTGTCGCAGCTTTCCAAAAAAAAAGAAAAACAAGAAGAAAAAAATGCCACCCATGATTGCACTTTTCTAACCGTAACTGAGGTCAGCGTTCGGCTGGAATATGATGGATTACAACTGTATGTTTTTTTTTTTTTTTTTCTTAACAGTGGATTTTGGTGTGAGCGCTCAGCTGGACCGGACGGTGGGCCGAAGGAACACCTTCATCGGGACGCCCTACTGGATGGCTCCGGAGGTCATCGCCTGCGACGAAAACCCCGACGCCACCTACGACTACAGGGTAAGGACGAGCAGAAGAGCTGGGGTAACAAGGCCCTATGAAGCAAAACACCTGCAGTATTTGTATTTACAACACATGACATTATCCAGGATGTATGAAACAACATCTCCTTTTATTATTATAAAGAAAACGTGTGGGTTTTTGTAGAAATGCCTCACTGACCCTGACCCTGTCTTCCAGAGCGACCTTTGGTCCTGCGGCATCACTGCCATAGAGATGGCGGAGGGAGCGCCCCGTAAGTACATCTACGTTTTGCTGGGGATTTAGCCGGGGATTTATTCAGGGTTTCCTCTTTGATTTTTTTAAGGTGTGGCACTTTAATGCGTTAATTTTGATTAATTAGCTACATAGATCTTAACGTGTTTAAAAGTATTCTTGTAAATGATTGCATTTATTTGTTTGTTTTTATTTATTTTTTGCGTGTTTCTGGTACGGCCGTAAATCTGCCGCACAAGCTGTATCTGCAAACAAAGCTGCTTCTCTAGGCTCATCCGATCGTGTTTAAATTTTAGTTCAAAACCACAATCTGATGAGATGCAGGAAAAGACTCTTGTTGTGCTATCAGAAGTTAGCCTGCTCAAGGCGAAAATAGCATCTCAATGCAAATCAATACGTCCCCAATGCTAATATTAGCTCTCACATCTTTAATGAAGGTTTTGTGAATGATCAGGGGTTCTTGGGTGTAGTGTCACCTTACTGATGGCTAAGTTACCTAATTAACAAATTAGAAACAATCAATATATTTGTTGTTGAGTACATATGTTTATTTATGCAATAATTTAGCATTAAAGAGGGTTATTGAATTTGAAATGTTTATGCTTTGATTAGTTTTGATTCTGGATTTATTTACAGGCCCTGCAATTAATTTGATTAATTTTATTTATATTAAAAGAAAAACACTTGGTGAGTTTCTACTTGTGTGTTTCTGACAACCTGGTGAAAATACTTTGAAATGTTGGATTTGTCAGATTTCCTTAAAACAGAAACAGCCACATGTTTCTGCAGCTGACAGTTTAGCCATCCTAATACATGCTAATGTTAGATTGTGTGAAACAAACGGTTAGCGAGGGGCATCGAAGTAAACACTTTTTAAAAAAATCGGAACACGTGGTTTTGTTCACAACGTCTCTGTTTTTTGGTGTCCTTCGCTGCAGCTCTGTGTGACATGCATCCGATGAGAGCCCTCTTCCTCATCCCCAGGAACCCTCCTCCTCGACTGAAGTCCAAAAAATGGTGAGATAAAAATGAAGCAACCGACCTCTCTTGCGAATACGTAGAGGCAAAATATTCCAAACTTTGACGTTTAAACGGCGTTACAGGTCGAAGAAGTTCTTCAGCTTCATTGAGGGCTGCCTGGTGAAGAACTACACCCAGCGGCCCCCCACTGAGCAGCTGCTGAAGCACCCCTTCATCCGGGACCAGCCCAACGAGAGGCAGGTCCGCATCCAGCTCAAGGATCACATCGACAGAACCAAGAAGAAGAGGGGCGAGAAAGGTGAGTTGTACCGTTTGCAGCTGATTTGAGGTCAAATTTTAGATCCTTACTATTTGTTTTTGTTTTTTCAATTCACAGATGAGACAGAGTATGAATACAGTGGGAGTGAAGAAGAGGAGGAAGAAGCTTCTGAGCAAGAAGGAGAGCCAAGGTAAACGCACTAAAAGATTTAGTAGGACTCGAAAAGTTAAAAATACTGAATTCACGCTCTTTCTGTACTTAAGTAAGCATGACCTGAAGAACAGAGAAAAATGCATACGTCACGTTTACATCACGTAAACAAGATCAGCCTAAGAGAAAACACATTTTTGGACAGTACAAAACGTCAACGGGAAAAGAAGAATAACTACTTCGACAAGTTTAGCACAAGAAATATGGATATGTTTGGGGGGCAAAACATAAAGTTTAATCAAACCATTTCATTCAGCAAATGACACAAAATAGAGAATACACTTAATTTCTTAAAATTTAATATGGCTGAAAACCGCTGGAGAATCTGAAATCCAACCAGACTGACTGGAAGCTGGAAAATCAGCAAATCAGTTCGATAAACAATCTAATAAAAACTGCAAAACATAATGAAATACTGCGATGTTTGGTAATTTTCCAATATCTTATGACCTGTTTAACATTTGACTGTTTCTAGCTGGAAGTGTGGGGGGACTGCTTAAATTTGTTTCATGTGTTTGATTGATTGAAAGCCTCCGCTGTTCATCAATAGTTCAATTTAAGTGACACACTTTTAAAAATATACAAGTCACACAACTTAGATGTCCTGTCTTGAAGCAAAAAGTGTCATTTTTATATATTTTAGAGGTGGATGTAGCGCCAAGATCACCAAAGTTGCTAGATCCCAAATGAAAATGTGAAGGTACTTTCACTGCAGCATTAATATTTGGTGTAGACGCCACTGTAAGGAGCTAAACGTCACACATCCTATCCTATTGTCAGAGAACCTGGGTTTATATCCTGTGCATCATTTTCAAACAGCGTCCCTATTTGTTTCCGTGTTAAACGCTTATTATTCCTGTCGTGTCTGCTGCCGTGCAGCTCCATAGTCAACGTTCCGGGCGAGTCGACGTTGCGCCGCGACTTCATCAGGCTGCAGCAGGAGAACAAGGAGCGCTCCGAGGCCCTGCGCCGCCAGCAGCTCCTCCAGGAGCAGCAGCTCCGCGAGCAGGAGGAGTACAAGCGCCAGCTGCTGGCCGAGAGGCAGAAACGAATCGAGCAGCAGAAGGAGCAGCGCAGGCGGCTGGAGGAGGTGACGAGTCGAAAACCCAAACGTCTTGTTGTGCTTTAGGCAAACTGTTCAAATGTTCTCTGTCTCGCAATTCATCCAGGTTTTTTTTTTCTTTAACAGTAAGTGTCCCAAAAATTAAGAAATAGATACAAGAAAGGCTACATTTTACTGTGCAGAAATCAAACCAGCAAAACATTTTCAATCAGCAAGTGAAGCTCTTTAAATTTGCATAAATCCATCTCAAACGAAACATAATCATGAGAGGTTTTCTTCGAGATTAACTAGAATGTTGCAGTAAACCTTTACCGTTGCTTTCTTCAAAACTGTTTTCTGAAAACATGCAGTCTAGTTAGGAAAATACATCAATTTCCAAGGATTTTTATTATTTAACTCAAAAATGTTGTTTCTATCAGCTTTAAACATCCAGAGACTGAATGTTTGCAGATTTTACTTTGCAAAAGAGGCAAAGAAAAACTAGGCGGGCTGCACAGTGGAAGAAAATAGATTGATTAAAACATTTTGGATCAATAAAGAGTGAAAAACAGCAACCTAATCCTAAAAGAAGACGTAAAGTGTCATCTGAAATAACCCACACTGCCTTTGTGACAGTGTGTCCCAGGAGAAAGTTTTAAGACTCGGTTGATCGTATAAATTCGAAACCCTACATGCTTTATGGTCTTACCAAATCTTCCACCTCGTTACTCCTGTTCGCCCACAGCAACAACGGCGCGAGCGCGAGATGAGGAGGCAGCAGGAGCGCGAGCAGCGCCGACGGGAGCAGGAGGAGAAGAGGCGCATCGAGGAGATGGAGCGCCGTCGCAAAGAGGAGGAGGAGCGAAGGAGGGCGGAGGAGGAGAAGAGGAGGGCCGACCGAGAGCAGGTACCAGAGCAGAGGATGGTAGATATTCACATAGATAAAATGAGAAATATGAACATATCGTTTCAGACTGGCTTGTCCTTACCAGTTGTGAGTATCTCTTTAAAAATGTATCGGAAAATGAAAACGAATCCCGACAAACTCCCAAAGTCCTACTTCCTACCCGCCTGAATGAGTAATCTAAGCTAACTTTACCTCTCATAGGAACCTTGCATGTTTTCCTTTGTCTTGTTATAGTTTTTCAGGTGTGTAACTGTTGCGTTTGATTGACAGGAGTACATCCGGCGGCAGCTAGAGGAGGAGCAGAGGCACCTGGAGATCCTGCAGCAGCAGCTCCTCCACGAACAGGCCATGCTTCTTGTGAGTTTTAGCCGTATCGTTCCATCGCAGCGCCGCTGGCACAGCCGTCTCCTCTTGGCTCCGCTGTTTATTTGCTCTATTGTCTTATTAGTCACACTCTTCCGTCTGTTTTTGCATCCCAAGTGTAATCCTCCGAGTGTCACGTTTCATTAGGCTGGTAAGTTGGACGGCAGGAGTCCCTCTGTGCAGATGGTTTCTGTTTCCATTTACCTCGCCGGCCAACCGAGTGCCGATGTTTAGTTTATCTTTTTTTTTTTTTCTTTTCTTCATTTTCTGGGTTTCAGAGATCCACGGGGAGCCGTTAAAACCTGAGGTCAAAACATAACGAGTTTTCTCAGGGTTTGAAAGGGGAAGTCGGGATGTTTACAGGGCCCTCAGTGATGGAGATGCCGTCACCAGAAAACCAGTCATCCAGCAGGAAGAGAGGGTTTCCCCCTCGCCCTGCCCCCGTTTGTCTTCTGTAGACGTTGGGTTGCTTTGTTTTTTAAGGATTTCGTCCCTTTGGGTTTGACAGTGAATACTCCTTTAATGTAAGGAAGTGACTGTCATCACCTCTACATCATTGTCAGCGGCCAACACTTCCTTGAGAGTCAGTTTATGAGCCCATAATAAAAATGAGCTTCCTCATTAGCTTATTTCAACAAGTCAAATATTTATGAATTACCCAAAACGGCACAAAATGGTGGATGGTAGTAGCATTTTAGTTTCCCTCAAACTGAGACTGAGTTGGCACTCAGAAGAATAACTTGCTAATAAATCCTAGTCATAAATTGTTGGTGAATGTTTGGGGTCCCAGAGGAAGTAAAAGCTGTTTTATTGTCCTCTATAAAATCAGCAGAATAGTCGGTGAGGCCCGTTCAAACCCAGCCCCTTATGGTGACTGTTCTTCTCTTGTTTTTTTTAAATTGAACTCCGGCCTCCCTGTACTCAGGAGTATAAATGGCGGGAGCTTGAGGAGCAGCGGCAGGCTCAGAAGCTCCAGAGGCAGCTGCAGCAGGAGCAGGTCTACCTGCTGTCACTGCAGCAGAACCAGAACCAGAACCCGGACGGTAGCAAAACAAGCCAGCAGCAGAGCGCCAAACCCCCGCAGAGCCTCGAAGCAGACAGGGTAAAGCCCCCGCAGACGCCTGACTCGGATCCACCCAAACAACCGCAGGGCATTAGCAATGAGAAGACGCGGCCCGGCCCGGAGAAAACGTCAGAACCCAGGCTTCCTGCGGCTGAGCGACAAGGCCCCGCACCTGACTCTGAGCCGGTCAGAGAGGTGAACGTCCTCACTGAACGCCTTCCCTTCGACTGCAGCAACAGTATTGGCTTTGCTTGTGTGAACTTACTTGCTTTGGGTCTGTCGTGTTTTCCTCCTGCTGCTGAATGGGTGGGTGCTTGGTAGATGCCGTCCTTTCCTACAACTCACAACCCGCATGATGAAACTCGGTTCTCACACTCTTAATAACGGTAAAGCTGAACCAACTAAAGACAACCGTTACATTCACGAGAGTCTCTGTCGGCTTTTCTTTTGGTTCAATCCAAACGCAAATACCCCTGGCAAAATGATGAATGTACTCGGCTTATTTCAAGTATCAATTCTTTATAATTAAAATAAATAATATTTGCAGTTCTCTTCTTTGTACTGACCAAATTTGTCACTGACGGGTCAATGCAACCAGATCAATGTGGCTAAAATTTGATCTGTAAACGTAAACCTCAGTCAGATGCAAGAAGAAATTCATATACATCCTAACATTGTATATATTTACAGATTAATGCTCAACACTCAATGATGATCTGCACGTCCTTAAAATGTCTTAAATTTATCTATGTAATATTAAAGCCTTAAAATGTCTGAAATTTGCTTAAAGATGTAAGTTGACTTTAATTTGTTTCTCACAGGTCTTACATTTTGTCGTGGCAGCACAATTTTATCTTATATTATGTTTTTTTCCTGTCAAGTAAACATTTGAGTCGTTTGTACACATTTTAAGTCTGTTCTGTCGCAAGATAGCATTTTTTGCATCTATCTTGGGAAAGTGTGCATTTGGCACCAGCTCACTTCTGTTGCCAACCCATGCAGCGTTGCATTTTGTGCACTGCTTCAATACAAAACATGCTTTTTTTTTCTTTTTTTTTTTTTTTTTTTACACATTTCTGTTGTGATCTTAAATTTTATTCAAAATGATCTTAGAAAGGACTGAAGTTTGAGTCGGTGAGGCCTGCAGGAACCCTGTCAACGGAAAGCAAATAATTTTGTTTTGTGATCACGACTTGACCGATTTAGTCTAACAGTTTACATAACCAAAGCAAATCCCAGGGCAATGCCTGAATGTCTAGTTTAATTTCTAGTAGTGACCTGTGTTAAAGTTAAAGTCATTGTGCTTTCCATGCACTGTCGATACAGAAGTGCTTGTTAATGTCATACTCTGTTTATGGAGGCCTGTGAACTGAACGCCTTCCATTCATTTCCCAATAACTTATTGGTGATGGACTTGGAGCTTAATCACTGACTATTACTGCCTCAGATTCACTGTAAGGTAATATTCTTACAGTGGTCATATGACTTATAAATAGGTAAATCTTTGGGACTGTAATCAGTCTATTCTATACACAAAATGTTACATCCAACTGGTCAAGTCTTACAATGAAGAAAAGGGGGTTTGAAAAACAAAATCTTTAACAACTATGTTTATTAGCATTCAACATTTTCCAGTCATAAGCTGTCTTTATTACAATCAAGAATCAGACGAGTGTAGCTGATGTCTTGATCGAAAGAACAAATCTTGCTTTAAACTTCTGGCCATTGAAAAAGGAGCCCTCATGTTTTCATAACTCATCTCTGTTACTTCTTCTGGGAGTTTAGAGCCTGATGTACGTGTCTTAACTTCTCCTCTCTTCCTTTGAGAAACAGCATGTCACTTTTACTGGTCATGTTGCTCTCGTCCTCGCTGACTTGTGGGTATAATGCAGGGACAGTAACACTGCCGGCCTGGTAAAGAGTCTTTTGTTTTCTGCTCGTCCGAATAACCCTTTTTTCTCTGTGGGGAATTAACTAACCAACCGTGCCGTCTGATGACTTCTGTCCTCGTCGCAGTTCCGTCTCGTCCAGACTGCGGGTTTTCTGAAGCCTCTTGTGTGTCGCTCCGCAGGCCGACGAGCGGTACAGGAAGAACATTCAGGGTTCCCCGCAGTCGGCTCAGACCAAACCCCAGCAGCCCCCGGTGCCGCCGCGCTCCGAGTCTTCGCACGCTAACGGGAACGCCGCATCGGAGGCGCCCGCGATGCTCCGACCTGTGGAGCCGCAGGTAACGACAACGTCTCCTGCTCAGCTTTACTGGTCATAGAGGCGCAGAGATAATTGTTTGCTCGTCATGTGAACATCTCCAAAGTGCAAAGTACTTTTTTTTTTTTTTAACTCTGAGCAATGCACATTTCCTGGATCTGATCTGAGGTAAAAGTCTCACTTTTTTGCACATAGTCAGTCCAATTTCTTCTCATGACAATTTAGATGCACATTTTACTTTTGAAGAGTTTTAAAATGCTAATATTCACTTATTTGTGTTTCTCACTTTACATATTTTTAGGTTTTCTGCTTATAAAATATGACTATCTGACCTTTGAGACCTAGTTTTTCACTAACCCTCTCATTTTCAGGTGACTTCAAAAGCACTCCATTGTTTGCTTGTTGCCGTAAAACATTGATCAATAATATTTTGACTAATGGCACTTTTTTTTCTTCAGTATTTACTCTTTGCAGATCAGGAATTTTAACTAACCATGTTTTGGTCGTTTCTTCTGGATCCACGGATAAAGCATTTTTTTTGTGTGCTTCTCCATTTTGAGTCTCGTCATCACCTTCCTTTTCAGTCCCCTCCCAAAATGACTGCAGTGCTCTGAGGAAAGTCTTTAAATCTCCAAACTAATACTTTATTCATTTGCTTTGTTCATATGACACGACATGCCGGGAACTGTTTGCGCGTTTTATATTTCCTGTCCTTCTTTCCCCACGATTGAATTTAAACTTGTTAAACTGATTCAGAAAAAAAAAAATATATATATATATATATCTGTTTTACTTTTGAATGAAAAAGCTCACGTCAGAGTTTTATTTTATGGGAAATGTCCTGGTTGTGCTGTGAACAAGTCCTCCAGCATCAGCTTCCAAATGTTTGCGCTGGGAGTGGAAGGCTCCTGGGTAAAGTCATCTGTAATATTTACATCTCTGCTCTGTATTTGGCATCTCCGCTTCATGTTCTGCTTCTCGTCATTGCGCTGCTGGTATTCAACAGCATCTATAATTTACAGGCCTCCAGATTCCTCATCGGAGTGACTCGGGCTGCGATAGTCTCTTCCCAGCGAGGGGCTGAAGCAGCTTTGCATGAATAACTGCGGCTCATTAAAGTCAATCGGCATGAACGTGCCACACAGATTAAATGAAGCGGAGAAAGCGGTGCCGCCGCGTTGTGCAATCGGGGTAATTATATAAATCACGTGCGTGTTATTAGACTTTCATTTTTAATGTAAATGTTACGTCCGCCAGGACGCCATATTTAAAAGGACACGCAGACAAAAGGATTCCAAGAAAAATATTCCTTTATTCATTTTTTTTTCTTTTCTTTTAAACTTCCTTGTCCTTTTCTACTTGTTTTTTCTTCTGTAAAGGAAGGAAAGAACCCCTCTTCCCGTGTCCCAAAACGTAACAAAAAAAGTAAGAGAAAAAAGTTCAACAGAAAGGTGGACCTGGTGAGCCGGTCCAAAGAAACAAAAAGGTACAGCAGGGGGCCAACCCTATACAGGGCCGTCGAAGCCCCTGCTAGTACCAGATTAAAGAAAATAGAAAAATAATATAAGCTATTAACACAAATGACCGAAAACAGGACAACCGGACTCACCAGGCCAAAACAAACCAAAAAACAACCCAAAAAATCCCCATGGCAGGCAGGAGGCGTCACATGGGTCCAAAGGCCGACAAAGTTGGAGGAGCCTCCTCCGGGCGCATCCCTCTTGGAGGTGGAGATGGAGGTGGATGAGCGAGCTAGAGAGAGAGCGGCTGGGCGGGCCAACCATTACAACCCAGCCTATATATATAGGCCGTCCTCGCCCACCAATTAAAGCCAAACTAATTACAAAAAGAATCACTACACTAAAAATATATTAAACACAAAACCACTCAACTTAAATCAATACAAAATTATTTAAGAAAATAATAATTAGAGAGTGCCCAAAGAACATAACAGTAAAGCAGAGCAATCTGCTTTCTCCTCTTAGATGGTTGTCAGTGAGCTCCGATGTGGGTTTGTGGCCTAACATTGCCTCTCTTTTCATTCATATAAATATTTAAGATAATTGATTGAAATTATTATTTTTTTACTTTAGCGGATTGAAAACCTTTTTGAAACTTTTTTTCCTCACTTATACTCCCATAATCCCCATTTATGACATTACTAGAAAATAGAGGAGGTAGTTATATCTCACGATTCAGGTGAAATATAGGATTCGAACTTTACAACAAGAGGTTGGTTTTAGAGGTTTTGCTGCCCGGTGGAGGGTTTGTGTGCATGCAGAGTGTTTGTCTTTAAATGCATGTTTGCATGCCAGCCTGTGTTTTAATTGTACGACTTTATCTTTGTTCTTTTTTACAACATTAGTTGTGGAGAGACTAATACAATTAATGTACTTAGCTGAAGCTTCAGCTTTTTTTACAGCTGCAAGCCTAATTATCTGTTAATCAAAGTGAAGTGGCGTTTCTGTCAACGTGTGTCGAGAGTCACGACAGAAATTGATTAAAAATACATTCTGGTGTCTTTGCACAGCAGCAGAGATGCAGGAGTAGCTACTGACGGCAGCAAGCAGGAGTTTGAAGACTTGTTTTCATTCAGCCGTTTGCAAAACCACATTCATGACAATATTTCTGCACGTTGCGGCATGTGCAAGAGTCTAATAATGTGGTTAAATTTTGATTTTTGTAATTCCACTGTCGATTAAAAGAAAAAAAAACCATGGCATTAGAGGAGGGTTTTTTTGGCAATCAAATCAGAAATTTTGAGATGAACTTCTCACATTTACAAGGAAAATCCTGGAAATTCTCTGACATTGAAAGGTCATAAGTTAGCTTGAAAAACACTACAGATGTTCACAATTAAATGCATAAATTTGCAGTGTTGGAACAAAGGTACAGAGCAAGAACAACACTGAAGTTCATAGAAATTACACTCAAATATTTGCGTCAAAATGTCACACAGGTCCTAAGGGTTAAGCATTTAGCTTCGGAGATGTGCATCTTTTCCAAACTGTGAGTGTAAGTAAGTACAATAAAAAGTTCTCCTGGGTGCAGACTTGCCATTGCTGCCTCAAACGACACGCCTGCGACGGTGAGGAAGAAGCTGCAACATGTCTGCATCACCATGTCAATAAATATAGAAAAACCTTGTAATACGTAAGAGTTAGGGAGCTACGGTTGGAGGTTTTAAACTTCAGTATTTTTGCTGGTAACCTCTCAAAACCTGTCTTGCATGCAAGTCTCTTGCCAGTTTATTTTTTGTTCTCCGTTTTGAAGGGGCTCTGTAAAGGTTTGGAGCTTTGTTAGTCACTGCTTTGCTAAAACATACTTATATCTTTGGGTATTAATGTTACATAACACACTTCTGCAACAGATATTGCGCTCTGTTTCATAAATGTAGCAGATACCTGTTTTTTTTTTTTTTTGTTTTGGAAACATTAGTTATTCTTAATCTAAACCCTTACATTTAGGGAGTGAGACTGCCAGTTGCATTTTCTTACTTTTTGTTTTTCAAAGGTTTCTGACACACTGACAAGATTAACAAGAAGAAGGAGATTTGACCCCAGCTCAAAGTGTCCAATGTAGCATCCTTGTAGCCCGTCCCGAATTTAATGAGTGTGTGAGAAGTTTAACTATAGTGCTTTCCTTTTGCTTCTGCATTATGTCATTTAATTATACTACCAGATTTTAATCCTTACCAGCTGCAAAAGGGAGTTTATGAATATAAAGTAAGGCCTGTCACATGAAGGATTGCAGCTAATATTACAGCTCCAGTGTAATGTCTTTTATACAATCATTTAAATATTAATTATACAACATCCTTCTTCATTATTGCTACCAGTTTCATAGCGTCAAAGTGAAAGACTAGCAGCTGTGTTGTAAAAGGCAGAAAAGCCTCTCGCATGAAGGCCTGTAACCTTGGCAGGAGGCTGAACATCAGTAAGCGGTCCTCTCTGCTGTGCTGAAGCTGTGCCTCTGGAGCCTTTTCAGGCAAGCAGCTTTAGATAAAGTAAATCATTTTAAACTATAAATCATTTTAAAACTACCATGTATTTTTTTGGAAATTTTAGTAAACAGATTAAACCGTAAGAAGTAGATAATTTACAAATCACAATGAGTGTGCCATGCCTTTAAGTTTAACCCGTTTACTCTAGTAACCCCAAGTACAATTCGAAGGCCTCAGAACAAGCAGAACCACGAAGACGATGAATCACAGCATAAAGGGCAGTGAAAAGGTTATTGAAAAGGTTAAAGCAGGTTAAAAGCAATAGTCCAAGCTTCAAAGTCGTTCTCAGTTCATCATCTGAGAACGAAAAGAACAAGGCACACCTGCAGACCTATCAAGATGCAGGCATTGTGCATTGAGCAAAGATATAGCACAGTCTTTATGGACAAAGAAAGGAAAGTCCAGCATAAGTCACCGTTAGAGATCTACGTAGGTAAGCGAGGGGAAGTCGGTGATTCTGCGTGTCTCAGAAATTGAACACTACCCCCTTACCGTAAACACATCATCATGTCGTGGGCATGAGTTTCTTCAGGAAAGACGAGGAAGTTGGCCAGAGTGGGTAAGAGGGACAAATGGAGCCAAAGATGTGAGTCTACCTTCCAACGAACTGAACCAACAGCCAGAGCTACAGGACAATGGATTGGGTTTACTCAAAATACATTCTTGTGTTTGGATGAGCCAGTCAAATTTCAGGCCTCAGTACGATTAAGAATCCGTGACAAACCTAGAAAATTAATGTTCACTGATGCAAACATAAGCAGCAGAGAAACCAAAGGGCCAAAAGTGAAAGGTGGTTCTACAAAACATTGATTAGAAAGTCCAAATACCCATGTGTGCCTTACTTTTAGACATTTTATTGTAAAAACAATAGAAAGCATTTAGTTTGTGTCTACTACCTAATAAATTACATTGAGGGTAATGATGCTTTTCCGGTGAACTATAATTTCAGTTCATGTCATAGTTCCTCAGCTACAAGATGCTCCAACCTTACAAGACCCTAAGAATGAATGAATACCCCTTCCTTGTTTGGGTTATCTGCATGCAGACTGATCCGTGCTCCCCACTGTGTTCTGTCTTGTCCTCTAAAAGGTCCGTTCCCATCTGGCTGCTCTCAAGAGCAGCAGCAGTGTGGCCTCACCAAACTCATCTGCTTCAACCCCACCCGTCATGTCCCGGTCGCACTCCTTCACCGAGCCGCTAACGCCTAGCTTTGAAAACCACCGCCCGCACAAAAGCCATGAACCCCACCAACACCGTCATCCTGCATCCTCCTCATCATCACCGTCATTCTTACCATCAACGCCTGCACGCACTGAGCCACAAACCCATCCCCAGTCCCGACCCATGCCCCACGAAAAGGTCCCGTCAGAGGACGGCCCGCCCAGGGTAAGATCGGGCCTCGTATGGAGTGGTGGAATGTTGCTGGGTGACTTGATTGCAATTTGTATGTTTGTTTTTTTTAAACCAATGAGATGGCAATTCTGGTCTCAAACATTTTAGTGTTGGCGACAGTATTTCATCATCTTATTTATTGAAGAAAAATGTTTTTGACTTTTTTATGGGTTGATTGAGCAGATGTGAGAAATTTCATTCCCCCTATTTATGTAGATACTCTTGGAAAGAGGGAGAACATATCTGAATTAGCATTAGCTCAAAGAAAGTCCGTCTCACCACTTTCTTTCTGACTATACTTGGCTGCCTGACCACTAAGACATGGTGAAGCTACACACCATGACGTCTACCTTGCTACGCTGTAGAAAAACGTTCCTGTTTCTCCACCAGTGAACCCAGACGGCTAAGTATAGGCAGAACACTTACTGCTCAGCCCACGAAGACCTAAATCCAGCCTGCAGAGCCAAAGTTAGCTCTTCACCCGCAGATATAAAAACCTGTCATGAACAAAATCATCACCCAGCCATGTTCCTGTCGTTAGGATAATTCAGTTATTTCAGCCTTTAGGCTTTAAATGACTCCTTAGTAACATATCAGCATCATGTCTGCTTTGACCCTGCTGTTTCCCACCGATCATGCTTTTGTGTGAAGTTTGAAGAGCGGCTTAGATGATGCGATGAGAACTGGTGTGTGTAGTTTACCGACGAGTGTGTGAAAGATGTATATTTTTGATCAGGACTCCGCCTGACCAGGCTGCTGCTGTTGGATCTCCACAGACTGTGTTCTGCTAATGACGCGTTGATGTGTAAGCCGGTCACTGTTTTTATCACAAAAGGTTCCTGTCAGGACAACGTCAAGGTCTCCGGTGTTGTCGAGGCGAGACTCGCCTCATCACCATAGCAGTGCCCCACAGAGCAGGGACGTGCTCCGAAACGCTGGCAGGTAAACACCAAGAGGTGGAGGATTGTTTCTGTTTAGTTTTTCAACACTATGGGAACTTTTTTCTTTTTTTTTAGCTTTTGGTTGTGTTATTGTTATGGAGCCTTTAGAATATTATATTATTTGTGGATGTACAATATACTGCATTCTAGTGGGATTGATGTAAAGTGAAAACAAAAACAAATTGACATAATCTACATTCATATCTAAAACCACTGAACAAGCTTGTAAATTCAATGTAAAACCTTCTAGTGGAGTCTGACTGTCTATGAGTTATAGGAGTAAGACTTTCCTGCAAATATATTAAAGAACAAAATATCTGAACAGTTCTCACCATAACTATCGTCATCCCAAGAGCATTAAGAATAAATCTAAACTTTTTATTTTTTACATGACCTATGTACCAAACAACTTTTATTTAGGTTCATGTATTCTTTACAAAATGAAAATGACAATAATTTAGGATCAATTCTAAAACTTGATCAGGAGGGGGAAGAAAATGAAGTGCTTTCTGTGGACATTGTGCTTCGTTAACATTTATCTCAAGGCTTTTGTTTCTCACATCAATTCTTGTGGAGAATATACTTGTTAGTAGAATTAAGCAAGCAAAATTAGATCTTAAAGATGTTTCCTTGTAAAACGCTTCCAGGAAATGAGTTTGGATGTTCAGCAGGATTCTCCTTCTGGCTGTGTAGTTAAAAAGTTTCTTAAATTGGATTATTTCTTTATTGAAACTGAAAAATATATACTTATATAAATACAAACTTTCTAATGTCAGGAATCTGAACTCCCTCCAATTACTTATGATTTTTGCTCTCTATTGGTCATTTTAGTTATTGTCTGCACCGTTTTATACTTTTCTGCATCAAGAAATGAAGCAGCTTGCCACTTAAAGAGCCTTACTTTTATGACTAATTCTAGTAATTAGAGACTTATAGGTGCGTTTAAAAGAAAAACCGAAGTATCAAAAAAATCGTAGAAAACTTGAATTCTTTTCTTTAGCATTTTTTGTAGTTTTAAGCATCACGCAGCCACAGTGTCTCCCCGGTTGAGGGTCTTCCTCCCCGTGTGGTCGTTTCACGCTGCCTCTCTTGCCTCTGCAGTTCGGCAGAGCCGCGGCTCCTGTGGGAACGCGTGGAGAAACTGGTTCCCAAAGCGAGCGGTAGTAGCGGCAGCGGAGGCTCCAGTTCCTCCAGCAGCTCCAGTAACTCCAGCTCTCAGTGCGACTCTGGAGAGAGGTTCAGGGCCCGCTGTGAGTTCCCACGCACTTTCGACACCAGACACACGGCAGGCCGAAGCGGAAGCCGTAGATAATCCCGCTGTAGCGAAGAAGCTCCACCAAAACAACCCGGGCACATTTTTAAGTTGTAGATACATTTATTTATTTATCAATCTGACATTACCGCCTCCTCCACCCTCTTCAGCTTCTTCCAAATCGGAGGGCTCGCCCCTCCAGCGACCAGAGAATGCTGGGAAAAAGCCGGAGGAGAGGAGGGACTTGGTCAGACCAAACAAACCAGCGGTGAGATCAGAACCAGAACCGTGTAGCGCTCTAGCTGCCTTAGAACTAGAACCTGGAGCTTTGGGGGTTTGTTTGACATCTGAAGTGTGTGTGTGTAGTTTTTGGGGTTTTTTCCCCGCTCTTTCTGCTCTCCATCCTTGAGCGATCCAATCAGATGTTCGTTGTTGGACCGAGCCTCCTTGCTCCACTTCTTGTTTGACTCCTTTCCCCGCCGGACTCTCTTGGCTGCCATTTTAACCCACGCTTTCTGTAACATTGATAAAATGATTCACCTTTTCCATCTTTACAGCTCTTTGTTATGGTTTAATCATTCAAATTAATCCACTAACCTTCCCTCCAGCAGCTTGGAGAGCATCCGCTTTACAGTCATTTCTCTCCTCGCATCTGTTTGGCTTCTCATTGGTTGGTTTTTCCTCTATAACTTCTTCCTCTCCAGCAGCTTTCTGTTTCCTGCTTCACTTAAAGACAATCAATAATACGACATGCTGTCATCTCCACTAACAACCGGCGTCAAAATGGGGCAAAACTCGCATAAGCAAACAGAAAATCCTTTGAAGTGAAGAACTTTCCCACCTTCCCGATCTTGCAGGACCTGACGGCTCTGGCCAAGGAGTTGCGTGCAGTGGACGATGTTCGTCCTCAGAACAAGGTGACGGATTATTCGTCCTCCAGCGAAGACTCAGACACCACCGACGAAGACGACGACGAAGAGGTGGACCAGGAGGCAGGCGAAGAATCGACGTCTGGCCCGGAGGATTCCAAAGCTGTGTACGTAGCCACAGACCGAACAAACCAGCCTAAAAAGCACCAGCGCTTTATGCTGCCTTCTCTCCCGCAGCTCTTCCAAGCTGAGCAACGGCGAGACGGAGTCGGTGAAAACCATGATAGTCCACGACGAGGGCGAGAACGAAGCAGGAACGACTCGGTGCAAAGACAGCACGCTGGTTGTCAGACAGGTACCGGCCGAGTGAGGAGGGAAAAGAAAGAAAACTGAAACATTTATTTACTGCACGCCTCCTGTTTTCACCATCATGCTGTTGTTTTTATTCATATCCCCAGTGTCCTTTCATCTTGTTTGTATGTGTTTGATTATTTTCTGTTCCTGCATATTTTGCAGTTGTGATGACAGTAAAAGCCTAACATTTAAAGCCAGTTACATATTTTTATTTTTATTTCATTTAAAATGAAACTAACAAAAAAATCTTGTTACAAAATAAATTCTTTATGTAATATAGGTAAAGCTGACATTACCTTTTCAAGGGATGTAAACATCCCTTTAACATTTTTCACATTTCTTCATGTTCCAACCACAAGTTGTAGTTTTTTTCTTTCTTCTTTTTCATTTTAACATATTAAACTGTGGCATCCATGTGTTTTCAGTTCAAGGTCAAGACAATGATGTTTCTACCAGTTTTGACCAAGAGCCTCCATTTTTATTGCGTTTTTCTTTTTAAATGCCAGTCAGATTGAAATAAGATCTTGAATTTCAAGTTTCACGTTTTGCCACAAATTCTCGAGTGGATTGCGGTCTGGACTTTAACTGGACCGTTCTAGCATGAGCTCTGATTTAACCTACCGAATTGTCTGGAGTTGCATCAATAACCGTGTTCATGCGTGATTTTTCATTAAGTTTTTTATTAAATGGAACCACCGCAGTAGCAAAATTGTCTTTTTTTTTTTTTTAACATCAGGAGAGTGTTGACAAAGATTTACCCACATTTGTAATGGAAACGCAGCTTCTAAGGTCTGTGGTTGTAACATGACATGTGAAAAAGTTCAACTTACCATTTTCATGCACCGTAAATGTCAATCCGTCAACCCGAAGACGACTGCTGTAGTTTTAAATAGTTCAAAGGAAGAGCAGAGATAACTTCAGAGTCTAACCCAATAACAAGCTACTAACCAGAGTTTTTCTTTTCACCTGTAGATTAGCCACTGTAGCTTGCCCTTCGCTCCAGCTAACACGTTCCCGTTCCCTGAGCTCATCAGGAACACACATAGACCCACAGTTGTCTACCCCTCTTTCTACTTCCAGAGCGCAGGTGACAACAGAAAGCGCGCGGCCCCCGCGTCGGGCCAAACGCAGACCCTTAGCCTGCTCGTGGGCTTCCCTCCGAGCCCTGGCTCGGCGCCGGCGCAGGGACTCATCCTCCACACCCCCAGCCCCCCACACCAACACCACCACCACCATCACCACCACCACCATCACCCCACGCAGCACCCTGACCGGAACGGCTTTGCCGGCCGCATCCATCACCTCCCAGACCTGATCCAGCAGAGCCACCACTCCTCCCCCTCCTCCTCTGCATCCAGCTCCCCTTCTTCTTCCAGCCTTGCCAGTCCCTCCACCATGTCCCCCCAGAGCCCGCTGGAGAAGCTCGGCATTCTGGCAGAGGTACGTCACCCGGCCCCGGCGCCAGCAGAGCCGGACAGACAGCGGCGTAGTCCAGACACGAACGGCTTGTTGGGCCTCGTGGTGAAGATGCGTGAAAAGCCTTCAGATGAATTTGGCTATTACTGCGGCTGCATAATCTGACAGACAAATTTAGAAAAAAACAAAACAATAACTTTAATGTCAGTACATTACCTCATTTGTGGAGAAAAAAAAAGATGATTTTAAGCAATAATTATTGGCACATTTATTGATACTTGTTCTAGAATCACTGCTGAACAACTAGTATGTTTGTAAAATGATCCTTTATCTTCCACCTATATTCAAAATTCAGTTTGATTCAAAATTCAAAACTACTTTATCCCTTTATTGATCCCAAAGGGAAATTAAATGTTGGGCCTCAAATTCTTCAAAGAGTTGTTGGATCTCCTGTAGCAGTCTGTATTCCAGCGAATTTGAAGAAGCCTCTGATGGAAGACACTTTGTTTTTCTATGACATCCAGCTGTACTGTGTTCATGACAGTAAAATTCTCTTGATTTTATGTAAACTCTTTCTTTGCGCTGTGACGTCAAGACGTGATCATGTCACATCCGCTCTAAAAGTAAACAGTAGTTATCGGATTACCAATTAGAAGTTACTAAAAATTATGATTGGCTTTATAAACTATAGAACAGCTTAGCGTACATTGATTGTTTTCCCAATAACTGTCACTCATTAATAAGTTTGTTAGATGTTTTGCTACAAATGTTGACATTCTTTCCCACCAAATAAGCGTGGACAAAGATTAAAGTTTGGATTCTTGCTGCTGGATTCATTTTCACACATATTCGCCAGGAGGCCAACATGTTCGGGCTTTAGATTGCAAACAGAGCGAGAAAAACTAATAATTACAGAGTATTTATCAGAACAGTGCCCTCTACTGGCCACTACTTGCGCACTCCTCTGAGGGAAATTTGCGAATAGGGTTGAATGCATTATTTTTTCAAAGATCTATCATCAATGGATTATTGATTACAGTTCCTCCTGAGACAGATTGTGTGCTTTTGATGGAAATATGTCTAGGAACTTCTACTGTGTGTCTCATCATCTTTCTTAATGTTGCCTGTTTTCAGCAAACAGGGTTCGCTCTTATATTCCCCAGACAGTAGCTCATAGCACACAGGCCAGTAAACAGTACAACGGCAAGTATGCTTTCAATCCACAAAAAAAAAAATCTACATTTGTTTCCCTTTTGTGTTTTTCACTTAGTCGACCACATTCATGTGGGGTTTTTTTCCTCCCTTTTTTTACCTTTTATTGTTTTATTTTTGTACCCCTGGATTGCATTGCCCATTATGTTTGCATGCAACATACAGAAACGCGAGTCATGTTGGCTAGTCTTCATGAATGCAGTATTACTTTTGGTCCTTAAAAAACTTCAACATATCCACGATTAATCAGTGATTGATCATTTTCAATACCTCCTTATTCCCTGAATAGAGCCAGTCGAGTAACAACATGCAGAAACACAAGTCCTCTTCGTCTTTCACTCCGTTCATCGACCCGCGCCTCCTCCAAGTGTCTCCGTCGACCGGCAGCGCCCTCAACAATGTCGGTAGGTGTCCGGATCACTTTCACACGGCACGCTGATTAAAAACCGATTCAAACAAACTGGTTTCCTCTATCGCTTAGTGAACACTTCAGGAGGTGATTATCTAAACACAAAATGCTACCAAGTATTTTTGATCTGGTTTTTAGTGCAAATAAAACAAAACTAACTTCGCATGTAACTTTTCAGGAGGACGTAGAGGCTTGTTTTAAGTAAATAATACCTTAATATTGATGGAAAAAGTCCTACTTTCATTAGCAGATATAACAAGATCTTTTTCTCATGTTATAAGTGAAATAATCGGCTGATGGAACTGGGGCTTTTTTTTGGTCAATATTTACCCAAAACAAGCCTTTATATCTTGTTGAAAAGTTCATTTGTCTTATTTCAAGTGCACTGAGATATTTGCACGAGAAAGTAGATGAAAAATACTTGGTTAGATTTAGTGTTTTTGCAGTGATGTTGGACCGCGGATACGATCTGCTACAGACTGACATAAGCCACCTCTGTTTAACCTTAAAAAATCTTCGATTCTAAAATAAGGCCTTAAAATGTCTGAAATTCCTTTTTAAAAATGTAAGGTGGCTTTAAAGGCGTTAATCATAAGCTTTAAATGTCAGGCCAGGAGTATTTAATGTTATTTTTGTCTCCTGGACTTTGCTGTCAGACAAAAGCTTGAGTTGCACAGAAACATCTTCATTGTGTTTTTTGAGGCTACCGGTAACTAGCTGCTAAAATATTCTGGCTAGTCAGCTAGCTCTTTTATTTCTGTCATGGCCAGACAGTGTTCAGCTTTACTCCCTCACAAGGTTAGGAGCAAAACAAATACATGATGCCTGGTACTATGGAAGAGAAGCATAAAGCCGGGTTAACAGTTTTTGCTATACTTCATGGTGAGGCAGCAAGTTCCCCCAACAATCTCTTGATATTTACAGTTTTTTGTCTTAAATTTTATTCAAGGTGGCATTAATAAGGTCTTTAAAAGTCTTAAATTTTATGTGCTCAAACCTGCAGATACCAGGTTTTAAAACGTTGCCATTGTAACGTATTAAGACTTCTGCTGGGGGAAACCGTTATTTTGCTCTGCTATTGTACCCAAAGAGAAATGTGCCTTCAAAAATGGATTTAAAGCATTATGCACACATACACGTTACTTCAAAGTCTGATGAGCGTCGGGGAAGATTTTGATCCCCGCGGTCCGTCCCTCTGCTTTAGTTTTATCTGAGGTCAAACAGAGAGTTTCCTCTGTTCTCTGATCAAACAGATCCTCCTTCATTTGGTTTCTGACCAGTCAGCTTCTCTCCTGAGTTACTCGCCGCATCCAGCTGCACGTATGGTCTCCGGTTGGAAACCAAAATCAGAACCAGACGCTTTGAACTCCAAAGGTTAGAAGCTGAGCGTGTGAAACCTTCCCAGAAATAATCCGTACAGACTCGGCTTGGTAATTTGGACTCTGCCGAGTTCATTGGGGTTAAAATTCACCCCAGTTTACAAACAAAACACTCTTATCGCAGCAGCCCTCATGTTTCCATCGCCGTCATGCTGCTGTAATCAAGGCCAACTATGCTGAGTCCTCTAATGTGACTGGTGACCAGCCAGTGACCTCTGCTCTACGTTGAGTTAATTGTTCAGATCTCTAAACATTTCTAGAAAGCAGCAGTGAAACAAGGGTTGATCCTGTCTGTAATCACTGAAGGCACTCTCAGCATGTTCCGTATCGAACTCATTCCTCTGATCATATCAGTTTTCCAGATGCTGTTTTACGAGAACGTTTTTCTTTAGTCGCCTTTAGTTCACCGTATCGCGAGGATGTCCAAAGTGCAAACATTTGCACTCAAAATGGTTTTGTGCGATCCTTGACCACAAAAAGAAATGCTCAAACTCAAGGATGGAGTTTCAAAGGAAAAATGATCTCGCAAAATGTCAGTGCCTTTCAAAAGCAAAATGCATGTCTTCCAGAAGTGGAAGGCACAACACATCAAACATCATATGGTTTTTACTCAACAGCAGATTTTGCTGCACCCATTTGGTAAATTGGCTAAATAAAGCAAGATGTTTTTCGAAGAACGAGCGACAGATATCTTGTCATGCTGACTGCGTATCCATAGAAAGTCTTAAATTTGTAAACATAAAGCCTTCAAATGTTTCAAATTGATTGTAAAACACTAAATTTGTTAATCATGGGTCTTAAACTTTGCCGTGGCAGGACTGATTAATAAACTACATATATTCTTTGTAGTTTTCTGTTTTCTTGTACTGTTTTGTGAATCGCTCAGATATTTTCAGTGCATTCTGTGACTGAAAGCCATTGCGGCTACCAGTCTGCCACTATCTTTGCAAGATCGCTCGCTAAACGAGGGTTCACTCTACATCGATTGGCAGCATCTTTTCTACAGAAATCACACTTCTTTGTTTTATTTGAAAAATTGGTTTTGTTTATAATTTGTCCAGGTGAAAGAGAAAAAATAAAAATAAAAAATTTAGAAAATTCTGTGGCCCTCAGTTTCTTTCCACTTGAAGAAAAAGCTTTTCTAACCGATCCTCACCCCTTCTGGTGAATCCCTTCACCATCCTACCTGAGCCCTACCCTTTGACCTTTCAGGCTACGCGAACGACGCCCGGCTGGCGGAGGCGCTCAGGGCCGACCCGTCCCGGAAAGGCTCCGTCGTCAACGTCAACCCGGTCAACACCCGCCCCCAGAGCGACACGCCGGAGATCCGCAAGTACAAGAAGAGGTTCAACTCCGAGATCCTGTGTGCCGCACTTTGGGGTAAAGGTCGTCTGTTTCGGATGGGGGATGAGTTTCCTGATGGTTCTGTAGAAGAGAGGAACGTTGTGAGTTAAAAAATGCAGAAATCATGTTTACATCGTCACCACAGGGTGTCAGCAACGCCCTGATGGGAAGGGCTGCTGTGTTTCTCACATGGAGAGTCCAGTAATCGCTGCTGATGCTTGGCAACAATTACAGATTTACAAGAACGGCAGTGAAGTCATTTTGGATCATTTTCAATTTTAGAAGAATTAAAAAAACCAAAATGTTCTGTACTTTTCAAGAATATCCATAAGCCTTGAACTCTTATTCATTCACCAACAAACTTAAATGTATTTTATTACGATTTGGAGGAAAAATGATGTATGGTATTTGCATTATATTATAAAAACATTCTAAATGGTGTGTCGTCTATTTTGTCAACTAGTAGTTGTGCATTCCACTCATCTGAGCGGCAAAAAGAAAGTCAATGGTGACGCAGTAAAAATGTGAAAGAGGCAAAACCTTTTTAACACGGCCCACCACCCTGAACACACCGCTGTAAAACATGGTGGTGGCAGCATCATGCTGTGTGGATGCTGTACCTCACCTGACTATAACCCAATTCAGAATTTATACCAAGACCAAAATACAGATTTATTTTGCTCAAACCTGGCAGAGATGTGCCACTAAAGGCATCCTCAAAGCACTGAGGCTCATCAGAGAAAAATCCACACCTTTCAGATTTTTATTTAACAAAGAAAAAAAGAAGCAATGCGGAAAAGTCGCCTTTATGTTGGTCTGTCACCTAAAACCATCTGTCTTACTGCGACCCTGCAGTGAAGCCTGCAGTTCACAAAACCTGCATCAACGTTTGGTTCGGTACCACAGCTGTGATTCAGTTCAGGATATTCTCCTTGACGTACATTTCTGTCTGCGTGTTTCAGGCGTCAACCTGTTGGTGGGAACAGAGAGCGGCCTGATGCTGCTGGATCGCAGCGGTCAGGGGAAAGTTTACCCTCTGATCAACCGGCGGCGCTTCCAGCAGATGGACGTCCTGGAGGGACTCAACGTCCTCGTCACTATATCAGGTGAACGTCCTTCACAGAAGGTACCAAAAGAAAGAGGAAAGGTTTTGCATTTCAGACGGCAAAGTCTGTGCAGGTGCCACACACGCTTAAGAAGTCTAAAAATCACAAAAAATTAAAGCCTTAAAATGTCTCACATTCGTTTTAAAAAGTAAGTTGCTCTGAAATATAAGACAAAATTTAAGACTATTCTTAAATATCATGTTTTTAAGAATGGTCTATTCTTAAATACTATTCAAGATCATGTATTTTGTTCTCTTTTTATTTTTCATTTTCCTGGGAAGGTTTGTGTCTCAGACTCCTTGAGACGGTTGAGGCTGCTGTCTAGTAGCTGCAGGCTCGCTTTTTTTGAGTCCATTTCTCACTGCACATTTATCTGCAGCTGACTGGATGAACTTTGCCCATTTCTGTCAACGTAGGGCTTCAGCTAGAGGTCCTTAAAAGTCATACATTTGAGTAGGTGAAACTCGCAGAAACCCTGGGTTAAGTTGAAGACCAGGACAACAGACTGATGCTTGCAGCCTGAAAATGCAGAGAAGCTATAATTGACTTTGAGACATAAAACTAGTTTCACTTCCTTCTCTCCGTCTCTTTTTGTCCAGTCTGCTTCTCTCTTTGAACTATTTCCCCACACCGTAGCACACACTCCTGCAAGTGCAAGCAAAACGTGCAGCATTCTGTATTCCTTCATGACAAAAGCGTTCTCCTGAGGAAACAAAGCGTTCGCAAACATAACAAAGATGGCCGTGAGGTTCGGGCCAATTTAAGCCCAATTTTCTCAGACTGAAAGTGGATCCGCATCTGTACTTCTCCTCTTTCTCAACAGCCCACACGCAGTGTCACAACATACATTTTGAGCTCAGCGGATGTTGCGTGAGGAGCATGTTGTGTGCGTACACGCTTTGTGATTCTGACACACGACCGAGCTTTTCCATGATGGAAGGAAACGCGGCAGGGTTGCACACACACGTCCATGTCCTCCTGTGAAACCCGTTTGCATTTCCGACATGTAAAAATAATTGACGCGTCATGGTCGGTTCTCGGCTCGTCGGAACGTGTGAAATAAGAGTTAGACCACATCCTGACGAACTGATGTAAGAAGATTGCCAGGATACAACGTAAATAAAGGCCATACATTTTAAGGGAACGGGATTTAATGCAATTTGGACGTTTCTGATCACGAAAATCAGATATTCTGTAATTCTGCAACGTCACCAGGACATTCTTAAATTAAAAGAGAGGCACATGGCGTCTTTAGAGTGTCCAAAAGACACAGCCAAACAACAAAAATATTTCCATTTCACATATTTTTGAGTCATTGAGATATAATGTCATGCCAGACAGCCACACATTAAAATGCTTTGACCATCCAACCTGCAAGCCAGGAAATGCCTCTTGTCTCAACTTTCTGAATTGCAGGACCTTGATGACAAAGATCCTAACAACTTCTGTGAACATTTAAAGTCACCAAATACATTTTTGGAAAGCAGAATTTTAATGCACGACACTGGAACGACACAGCCCAGCAAGAATTGCATCAAACCTGTCCTGTGCAGTTGCAGATTTTGCATACAATGATTTTGTGACAACAAATGTGGTTCACTGTATTTTGCAGCTGTGATGGCAGTGCAGTTTTGCAACAGTTTTAAACACTTGTTGCTACCCTGAACAAAATCGTCCAAGGCTATAAAACTGGCAACCTGCCTGAATACCTACTGCCTCTCTAGCTTTATTCCCATTGACCATGTGACTAAGCAATTTGACGTTTCAAGAATAAATTTGCTTACTGGAAACGAGCCAATCTGAAAACAACAACTCATTTTTGAATAGGAAGTTTTGGCACCAGGAAGAGGCGGCTGTTTGAATCAAAATGAGAGTATTTTTGCAGAACTGCAATGGAAATGCTTTTTCTTTGCATCCCACGAAACGGGATGTCAGAGGTTCCCATAACGTTACAATCCCATGGAAATTGAAGCAAACTGAATTATCTCAATCAGGTTTGTAACTGAAGCAACCTTCATCTGATTTTTAGCTCAAGTGAAAACACAGGGTGTTGTCGGCGGATATGTTTACACTGTTGATGTGTTTTATGTACAGAAAGAAATATTTTTTTAGACTGAGATTTTACAGAATGGGAAGATGAAGGGGAAAACAGTCGATCTTAAGTTTTTGATCCGGTCATCTCAGCCGATTTGTTTGCTGTACTGATTTTACACACATTGACACTCTGACATCAACACACATCATGCATTATAGATGCTTAGATTACAGTAATGAAAATCTTTTCTTCCTTCCTTCCTGCATTCTTGCTCCATGCCAGGTAAAAAGAACAAGCTGCGTGTCTACTACCTGTCCTGGCTGAGGAACAAGATCCTTCACAACGACCCTGAGGTGGAGAAAAAACAGGGCTGGACCACCGTAGGGGATCTGGAAGGCTGTGTTCACTACAAAGTTGGTATGTGAGATTATACGAGGAATGTTAAGAATGTCACCTCTAGGAGTGTCCGTAAATATTTTCTTCTCCATAGGGATTATATGGTTTTCCCTCTGTAGCTTAGTCTGAGCCAAAGATCATTTCCGATGCTCTAAGTTGCATTAAGTTCACTTGTTTAGTCTTTAAGGGACGCACACGCTCCCAGTCCTTGGTTAAAGCTCGTTGATGCACAGGATTAGGTTAAGATTCCTAATTTGTGAATTGCCAACATGTCACCAACACATTTTCCCAGACAAACAGTGATCTAAGACACTGACAAATTATTTCATCCTCACCCCTACCTTATGAAATACTGACGTTAATCTGACCATCTGTGGGGTTCAATCGGGAGACTCCAGCTTTATAAACTCACCCGATGATACAGAGCGGGTTTATGTGTCCGAGACGGGCATGTCACCGATAAATAACAGGAGGGAAAACCTCGATTAGGAAATTTTATGTCAGTGGCATCCGAGAGGGCACGCAGCCAATTCAGTCCTGTCTAAAATGCAGAATGTCCTTGGTGATTTTAGTGCCACTGAGCACTTCCTGTTGGAAACTCCACTCTCTCTTCTGGAGCTGTCGACAAATACATTTCCCATCAGAGATCTCGAGTTGATGCCAGTTTATGCATTTCTTGAATTAACACATGTGGAAAGAAGGGGATTATTTATTGGATATTTCACAACACAAAGTATTAAGTATTCTTCATTTCTCCTAAATAGTTTACTGAGAGGTTTGATAGATTAAAAATCTCACTTAAATGTGCGCCGGCAGCATCAGTGCAGATTTTTCAGGAGCAGATTTATCTTTTTTGACCAATGTCAGAGACAGGAAGGCGTGGAAACTCAGGTTTTACAAAACAAATACCTTTGAGGATTTGCCGCCAATGTGCTAATAGCAGAGCTAACATCTCGCTGAGCCCTTAAGCTAACTTTGAAAACTTTCAAATAGCTTCAAAATGTAGAAGACTGAAGGACTGTTTTGTAAACTTTCAGTTGATTGCATTCAAGCATCATGAATCTGATTGCATGTGAATTACAACCTAGTTAGTTTTACAAGATTATGAACGATCTGAGCAGCTTTAACCAAGCAACATGAACTGGACTAAAATATTGTCCTCTTGCTTCTTGGTGCCGACCTGCTGGTTCATTTCAATGTTTATTTTCCCAGTAAAATACGAGCGGATCAAGTTCTTGGTTCTGGCTCTGAAGAACTCGGTGGAGGTCTACGCCTGGGCGCCCAAACCCTACCACAAGTTCATGGCCTTCAAGGTACAGGACCGATTGGGATAGCTATCGCTAGCAGCTGAGCCGCTAGTTTGTTTGTCTGAACTCAAGTTACTGTCTTCAACAGTCTTTCGGTGACCTGGTGCACAAGCCCCTGCTGGTTGACCTCACTGTGGAGGAAGGGCAAAGGTTAAAGGTCATCTACGGCTCCTGCTCAGGCTTCCACGCCGTCGACGTGGACTCCGGCGCGGTCTATGACATCTACCTGCCGACCCACGTAAGAAACGCCCCGCCACGGTGAACGGCACAGACACCGTGCTGTTTCTCACTCCTTTGCTTAACGCTGGACAACAAAGCTGCTGAGACCGGAGGTCAAAGGCCGACATCTTCCGATTTCTGTGCCTTCAGATCCAGAACAATATTCAGTCTCACGCCATCATCATCCTCCCCAACACCGACGGCATCGAGCTGCTGGTGTGCTACGAGGACGAGGGGGTTTACGTCAACACCTACGGACGCATCACCAAGGACGTGGTGCTGCAGTGGGGGGAGATGCCCACCTCAGTGGGTGAGTCGCTATGGAAACGACTCCCCAACAGTGGCGGGCGCGCCTCCGCCAAGGCGCTAATAGCTGAGCTCGCTTTTCACTCGACGCTCGAGCATGTTTGCCAACTTTGAAAACATTTAGTTTCCGCTGAATCAAATTGTAAAGCATTAATTTATTTGGCTGTTTTGTAAACTTCCAGTTAAAGTTCGACGTCTGTGTTGAAGTTTTGGTCATCGACTGATGAGAATGCTTCGAGGAGCTAGACGTTTAAATTTATGCTTATTTTGAAGTGGATGAAGACTCACCCTCCAGCCACCATGCGGTGCAACAAATGATGTTTGTTATTATTGTTTTGTACCCAGAATGCATCCCTGTAGATCCACACCCGGTCCTTGAGTGAACAGTTTTACTCGTGTCCATTGTGCTTTCTGACCAAATCCCTGCTGCGGTCAGTTTGGCAACAGAATCAGCAAATCTCAACAACTATAAAACTAGATGAAGCTATAAAAGTATGACCACTTGCTAAAGCGTAACCGTACATGTGGGCGCATAAAAACAAAGTTGAACCTGTATCGTGTGTTGCGACACGTGTTGTGTCATTGACACATGGGTATTTTTGTTGGTTGTACTTAGCAGCTTAGCAATAGCTTCTGCTAAATACCGTGTTTGTATAACTCGCGTTTACTAATACTTCAGGGTTAGCGCAACTGACTGTTTTTAGTTGCCCGCTACTGCTACACAACAAACAAGCATGTATGTAGATTTATCTACATTTTTATCTACCTGCGTCAGTTTTTAGCTGTTGGTACCACTGAGTACTTGTTCACTTTAAGCCTATACTCCTAGTGACTTTAGTGCATTGACTTGTAAATCTCTCCTCAGCCTACATTCGCTCCAACCAGATCATGGGCTGGGGCGAGAAGGCCATAGAGATCCGCTCGGTGGAGACCGGTCACCTGGACGGAGTCTTTATGCATAAGAGAGCCCAGAGACTCAAGTTCCTCTGTGAAAGAAATGATAAGGTGAGAACGAATGGTGGAAAAGTGCAAGAAAAGAAAAAAAAAACACTTCATATCCTACAAAACCTTTTCGCCTTTTGTTTCATTACAACTACAAACTTGGAGGCGTTGTGTTGAGGTATTATGTGATAAACTGCAACAAAGTTGATGTTGATTGGAAAGCTGAAGGAAAATGCTTCGCTCATGTTTTACAAATACAGATTTTAAAGCTCATTGCTGAGCCTCCATATGCAAAATTAATTATTGCAATGATTGATATTATGTTTTAGACTATTTAAGACCAAGTTTAAAGTAATATATGGCATAATAATTCAAGATTGCCTCTAAAAGACAGATAAACTGTAATTGTACACATTCTTAACACTGGAATTGGAAGATAATTCAATCCCAAATGAAACAGCAACCAAAACCATGAATAAAAGTTTCCGTAAACAAAATTGCCCTTCAAAAAATTATCAATCATGAGAATGGAAATTATAAAGCTCATTTTAATTTAATTGTCTGAGTTGGACTGGGATCAAATTACACATAAGTGAATTTTATGTAGGAGGCATCAGAGTAAGAAGGGGCTGAATAGAAATGGCCACAACATCTTTCAGATTTTTACTTGTCAAGACATTCAGAAGTATGAATTATCTGCCCTCTGTTTCACAATCATGCACCACTTTGTGTTGCTCTATCAAATAAAATCCCAATTTGACATTTGTGTTTGTAAAACAACCAAATGCAAGGAAGTTAATGAGGTTTGAGTGGCGGATGTGAATGGGTCCGATTCCAGATTGCAACACATTTTCTTGCTTTGGCTGCATGGCTGTGCTGACATGACTGCAGGACATCCCAGAGTTGCTCCGAAACTTGCTCTCTGAAACTGTCTGCTGCAGAAATTGGCTCCACATTTCAACCTGCGCTACAAAAAACAAAAATCACAGAGAGAAGTCGCACACAAATACTAATATTGAACCTGTTCTGCAGAGGATGGCACGTGTGAAACTGAAATGATTTTCTACATTTTTCTCCAGTGTTGGCTCAGCTGTGTCTGAATTGCCCAAGTTTCTCTTCTCTCTTTTCTGAATTTACTTCCCTTTTGTCCAGAGAAAAAAGCCTAATGAAAATTAGACCTTGGATTTGTTTTTGGTCTGTTTTTTTTTTTTTCCCCTCTTTGTGCACCCCAAGTTTTGACAAGCTACGAGGGAAATGATACTTGAACTTAGGGGAATTATTTATTTCAGGAAACATGTCGGTAATTTGTCAAGCAAAAGCCCCAGATAAAATTCCCACTGTTTCATGTTTCCTGTCTAGGTGTTCTTCGCCTCCGTTCGGCCCGGAGGCTCCAGCCAGGTCTACTTCATGACTCTGGGCCGAAGCAACCTTCTCAGCTGGTAGAGGTCCACGCCCTGCCCTCCTGTTTGTTCTCCTCCTCGTCCTTCGCATCGTCCCCCTCTCACACCTCGCTAACACTGGATCTCAGAACCCACCTACCGTGTTTCTGTCGACGCTAGGACAACGAAAACAGCCGCCGGCTCGAGACCCCATCAGCGCGGTCCACGGCGTCGACCTCACCCCGTTTTCTTCTGCTGGTGGGCGCCGGGGCCTCGACCTGGCGACGCGGCGACGACCCCGAGAAACAAAAAGGTCGCCCGCTTTCCTCAGAAATACCGGAAGTGACGACTTGCTTCCAGAAGTAAAACCAATAGCTTACATGCTTAAGGAGGTAGAAATTAAAACAAATGTGAATTTAATAAAAGAGGACAGACGACGTGTGTTTTTCCTCTCAGCCTGTCTCGGTGCTCGTCACGTTGCGATGGGGTCGACGTTGAACTCCCGCTTTGTTTCCGTGCTCTCGAGTTGGTTCAGTAACATCGATGTCGTTTAAACCAGGAGCTCGGCGAACGCTACTCTCTCTTCTACTACTGTCCGCAGCTCTGCCTCTCGGAAGGGAGTTCGTCTTATTTACGCGACGGCGGTGTGTGTGTAGAAGCAGGTCTTGGGTGGGATCAGGTGTTTTTAACGGGGGACGCATGTGTGATGATGTTGCTTTAAAGAAAAAAAAAACACAACAGGATGACGGAAAGAGAAAGGACCAGTCAGGCAGGCGGGTTTCAAATTAGTATTTTCTGAATTCTTCTAGAGAGATGTGACAGAGTGGAGTCAAACGCGTCTTTAAGCTTTTATTTTACAGCCTGAACGCCACACGGGGAACTTGAACTGCTGTGAATAGCTATTCCACGAGTAACTTTGAGAAATAAAATGAAAAACGGTGGGGTGTTTATGAACTGACCAGGTCAGAAGGACGGTCAGCATGTGTGTGCCAGGATGTGTTGTCGGCGAGTTGAGTTTCCACGGCGGCGGAGAGGATTCAGCAGGTTTTGTTTCAGAGCGGGAGGCGGACTTCGATCTTCCAATCCCTACACCCCGTTTCTTCGGCTCGATTCACCTTCCATCGATTATTCTTATTATTTATGTGTGCGCCATGCACTCAGTGTCCAGAATGTAGAGAGACTTTTTGCTGTGTGGTGGTCCAAGGCATGAGATGATGTTTCGCTTCTTTGTCACAAGTGGTCGGTTCTAGGTGTTTTGATTTCAAGTTTTAAGTGAATAAAAGCTGCAGCGGCAGCAGCAGAGCCTCGGCTTCAAGTGTGGAGACGTCTTTGTTTTCCCAAACCGTGGCTACACCCCCGAAACCCCGACCCAGTGTTTGGGAGCCGAGGAGCGTCTCCTGCCGTCCTGAGAGCCCTGCTTGCTTTCACGTGAGGACTGAAAAACTTTTGTCGTTCTCAAACTAACACTTTGGACTTCAGTTTGTGCCGTGATGAAGTGTCCCCAACCTGGCAACGCGGAGCAGAGCTGCTTCTTTTCCTACTCGTTTCAACAACACACGATGTTTTCTGTGCATTCGCCACAAATCAGAACATCATCCAAAGTTTTAGCCGTTTTCATAACCCCGATAAGCAGAGCAATGTTTCAAGGCGTCCATCTCTTTAATTTTAGATCGTTGCTGCAAATGAAAACCTAAAACCAGCCAACTGATGACGCGGCTCCCCAAACGTTACCATTGACCTTAAAATTGCACAAATTGGCATTACCAAAAGAAATTAGCTGAAAAGGTTTTTGCACAAGGATCAAGTTGTTTCCCCTCCTGCCTGCTGGCTGTATTGAAATTAGTGTAAGTTGAAAAAGTGCAACGCCATCACTTATTTTGATCCAACAACCAGATGTTACTACTGACGGAAAACACAAAGAAGCCGACAGGAAGTGGTTGGAGGACGATGTTTTTTTGTTGACTCTTGCTCTTGTGATTTTAATTGCGCTTCTTGTTCAATGGAAATGCAGCAATGGCAAAATTGTCTTCATTTGACATTAGCGGAATATATCAGCAAAGTTTTGTAACAGAAACGCAGCTGCTGAATATGGAAACTTCTCATTAGACCTCAAGCAGATTAGATTCTGTTGCTTTTCCACCAGACCCTTAAGACCTTGGTTTCCAAATGAAATGCAAAACTTAATGCCATTCGAGAAGCGGACTTTGTCAGCCCAGTCATTTTTCTCACTAATCCAGACAAGGAACTTCTGTCTCAGAAGTGACGTCCAAGTTTGCTACCCCTTAATCTGCCCCAGACTCTTGAAGGGCTTTGGTACACCATCCTTGAAGGGCTTTGGTACACCATCCTCTATTCATGCCACTTGTCCGTTTTGTTTCCTAACACACATTTCCAATCCGTTGTTATCTTTGGATGAATCTTCTTTAACCTTTTTGAATATTTCCTATGTGGATGTGTCAAAAAACAAAAGAAAGGTCCCTTTTACTGAGAGGCTGAGTTCTGGGTTTTCATTGACTGCAAGGCGCCACCATCAAAATTCCTGAATTAATCTGATTCGATCAACATACAAGTTGAATTGTTCTCTATAAATGTTGAATTAAATGAATATTCTGATCAGTGGAGATGCTCCTCTTTTCTTTCACCCTAAACCTGCTTAGATTTCAGACATCAGATCTCCTTCATCCGGTCCTACTGGACGTTCCTCCATTTCCACAGACTTTTTTAGTTTTTTATTACTGGTGCACATTTCTGTTAAAAAAAAAACCCAAACAAACAGGGGAGAACCGAAGAGAATCCCATTTGTGCTCTGACTTCATGTCCAAACATGTTTTCATCAGGATATGAACAAGATTCTCTTGCGTGTGTTTCCCTCTCCACTCCTCACAACAATTACACACACACACACACACACATGCGCACCTACAGGCTCTTGTCAGTCACGTAGCTCATGTCCCAAATCCTTTGCTCCAAAAGTTAACGGAGACGCTGTTCGATCCCCAATGCTGTTGTCTGCAGTGGTATCCGCCATGTTTGCTTTACTGCATTAAAGGCCATCGGCGTGTGGCTGACTCTGTGAGCCACACACACTTTGTGGATGACTTTGTGAAAATAATGTGACTATTATGACTATTGATAATGGATTAAATTAAAGGCGAATGATGTGATTCGGGGGAAGCAAAAGCAATCCGCCTGCAGGTTGAAGTTGGAACAAGTGCCAAGAGGGCAACATTTAAAGCGTGTGAAACTATTGTTATTGAAAACCACTTCTTGGATATTCTTTTTAAAAATTCAAACAAACACAAACACACACAAAAAAACTAAAACAAAAAAAAAGTCACTTGAAGCATTGTGTATTCTTAAGTTTTAGAGGTAGTTAAGAAACTTACTAGTTTTCTGTTGTTTCTGTAAGTCTATGTACACGTAAATATGCGACTGCGGTGGTTGAATATTATTGCACTCACCCTAGGTGGGGAAAAAAAAATGTTTACAGAGGCAATGTTTCGTTACACCAATGTGTGCATCATGGTATTTGTGTTTAACACATCTCAGTTCCTTATACTTTGGTTATGGTTCTTGAGCCTGTTTATTTTTTTTGTCTTTCTAATTGGATATTTATTGTTTTCTATCCATCATCTCCCCACTCAACCACCTACGGCGGAAGCGACAACGACCACGTTGTCGTTCTCTTCAGGTATTCGCGCGACGCTTCGCGCCCACGGTGACGTCGCAGCGACGCTCCCTGCAGGCTCGGATGTGTTTTCCTCTGTTTCTGCCATGCTTCTCTAACTTATGTCCTCTCTGTGTATGGCAGGAAGTCGTGTAGTTTCCTGATTTGTTTTTTTTTTTGTTTTCTTTGAATAAACTTTAAAAGTACGTTTCAGAGTGCGTCGTCCGTCGGTGGTGTGGTGCTGCTTGTTTGTTCCCCAAACACAAACGTGAAGAAGAAGAGGAGGAGATCTTGCGTCACATGTTTGCCAACTCGACCCACTTTGTTCTGTTTTCATCCTTTTCAAACCAACACAGTTTAGTACAATAACAACAACGACGCACGGCGTTCGTATTCAGGCGGCTCGACCGTGTCGTAAATCAGAACTTGTGGGAGAAGTCGCGTGTCTGATTTCAGGTTGACTGTGTGTCTCGACTCAGCTCAAAAAGGAGAAGTATTCGCAAATCAAGGTTTCAGAGACATCTTGTGCAAAGGTATATAAATAGGTTGGGGAAACTTTAAAGTGTAAGGTTACCAAGGTGAAGCTAAAAAAAAGAAGAATTGGAGTACGTGTGAGGCCTGATCTCCAAAGGGAAGAACAAAAGCAAATCTTTCAATCAATCCATCTCCTTTTTTTGCAGTGAGGTTTGTTTCAAGGTTTCAACACGACGACTGTCTGAACTGTAAAAGTCAAAGCTCGTTCGTGCTGCTTGGATGAATCCTCTGCTGGGGGGAATAAACAAAACGGGTTTGTCAAGCTGTAGTCATCTGACCTGTCGAGTATCAGGGCCTCGGATGCCAAGGTGCTCGGAATAATTCCCAAAACATGCAACATCTTCTGATTTCTCAACGGCCAGACGTGAGTTGAAAGAACACTGTGCTGATCTTTCAACCTCTGTTAACAAATGGTAAATTAGAACGCTTTGTTCTCGTCAAAGGTCCGTTTACGTCCAGGTGAGCCTTCACTCGTTTAGGAAGGATGATCCAGTGTGGAAAGAGAATAAGTGGATAAAATTTCAATATCTGAATTGAATTGAATCTACCAGTAACATTTTTTTTTATCTGGAAGGATTTTACTTAAACATTTTGCGTTGTTTTGGGCCATGTCCTAAAGCCTGTTATGATTAAACTAAAGCACATACAGACAGTGATGCTGGTTTGTCGTTGCACACGTCTGAAATTACATGAGTTAGGATGAGCAGCATTATTGTTTATTTTTACATTCTTGTTTTAAATTTGTAAAATCTGAACCACAGAATATTTTTCTACACATCTGAAGTGTAAAACTGGACACTAAGAACAATACCAACATAATTAATAAAAGTGACAATACTTTAATTGCCATAAATGCTGCTGACATCTCCTGTGGCAGATAGATGGTCAATGGAACAACAAAAACATTAATATGAAGCCAGCGAGCTTTTAAACTGTCTGCTGACAGTTTAAAAGTTTGTCTGTGGACAGAGTTCTGTCTTTTCATAACTAACCAAATAAAGCAAATATGTTATATTTCATGCATGTTTTTATCATTTATGAGATGTGTAAAAAGTAGATGCTGTCATACTTTAGGCCCTGAATAAGTTCAGCTGTAGGTTTTGGTGTCACATAGTCTCAGTCGACCAATAACAAAATTGCATCATCAATAACAAATTGTTGCATATATATATCTATATATATAGATATATATCTATATATATGGTATCCGCCATGTTGCTGATTGTAAAATCTTCAGCATAGATCAATGTGTGGTCGCTACTGGATCCTTTCCAGAACCTCTTTTCGAGTGAAGACGTTCAGACCTCCCGTAGAGAGGCTGAAGATCAGATTGGCGTTATAGACGTAGCTTGCTCTAGACAGAGGCCCGCGCCGCGGCAGAGCTGTTCAAACAGCAATAATGGCGGCCCACAGCTTGCATCACCGCCGTGTCAAACGGGACAATGTCCACACAGGAGAATGTCCAGTCAGGACTTCCTACGTCGCTCCAAAAGACGAGCGCAGCCCAGAGCGTTCTGGTGGAAACCTCTTTTGCTCTGCAGGGAGATGACAGAGCAGTGAGTCATGCTGTTACTCAACTGTTTCACGGACGGTTTGTATACAAAGGTTGTGAGCGAGGCTTTATTTGGGATTAGATTTCCTTTCTATCGTCACCTCAGTTTGAAATAAAACAAAACAAAAAAAGTGTGTTGGCATGGAAAGCTTTGCAACAAACTGGCAACACTCCCTACGTCCAGTGAGCGTTGCACAACGAAAGACGGTTCAAAATGTCAGAACGCTTCACACCGCCTGGCTGATGGATTCCTGTCCTCGTGTCAGTGTCACGTCACACATAGGAGGAAAAAAAACCCAAAACAAACAAAACGGGGAGCGTCAAGGTTTATGACAGCCTGGCTGATTTGTTGTGCGTTAGTCACAAGGTATGAATCCTTGGGATTCATAGAGCGGGAGCCGCAGGAGCCTGTTGTCCAGGTCCACCACAACAAATCCTCAGGGCCCTGCTTGAGGTGACTCAGCAGGGCCCTGAAAGCAAAAATGCCGAGTCATCGCGGCTGTTTTAAGACTCCATGACGTACGATTGTCCTTACAAAGCAAAAGCTCAAAGATGAGAGTTAGAGGTGCACCGGTCTGAAATGTGGCGGCCGATTTCCAATCGCCAAGTTTGTGAAACTTTTGCTAAAAACCAGCCAGGATTTTCCCTTGAGATCTACAATAGCACAAAAAATGTCAACACTGGCCAATAAGTGAAATCAAACAATCTTAACCACAATGTTTTTATGTCACAAACAATCCAACAGTACTTCATTGATCCGAAAGTGGCATTAAATTATCAATCCGCTCAACTTGCAGCATTCTCAGTCTGCACCGCTGAAAATCTACAACTTTTTTCCTTTACATCCACTACTAAAACGTAGAAGTGAGGCATCTCATATTTAGTTTCTTTCTCCTGTAAAACCTTTTTTTAAACTTTATTACTGAGTGGAAAAGGACAGATTTATTGTTACATGTGAAACTGTTCAGCTCATGCAGGCATGTCAAGCCGTCTGATCATTTACATTATGACCAGAGGTGATGTCACACAGTGTGTGAAAGACAACAAGGCAGCGTTTCACAGTTGGATTTCCAACACTGAGCAACAGTTCGCCTTCCAGTCAAGCTGCTAATAAATAAACACTGCTAGAGCTATAAAACCTTCAAAAAGAAAAGATTTTCACTTTCCAGTCGATTTGCACAGAGCAGTTGACTGAACCGCTCCGGTTGAGACTCCATTTCTTGTTAGTTTTTAGACCTTTAGCTTACTAAACAGCATAGGATGTACTGTGAGTCCAAAGATCAAGTTATTTGTTTTACCTATCAAAGTTGGAAAAAAAAACACACAAATAAAACAATTAAGAATCAGCTTTGTTATGTTTGTAAATACATGGAAGAGAATAAAGATCAATTTCAGTTCAGAAAATGAACACAAGGTTTGACAGAGCAGAGCCATAAATGTCCATTCAGAGCACTTTTAATTTCAGCTTTATTATTAATAACAAGAAATTAATTTTCTCCTTGGATGTCACTTGTTTTTTTTTTTTTTTTTTTTTTTTTGTAACTCCCCCTCTCCACTCGCAGGTGTGTACATGCAAGTGTGTGTTTTTGTGCTAAAACAAATAAAGATGTCCGCCGCCAACATCATGAGGAAGTTCCTGCCAGGGAGCAGCGGCGGTAAACAGATTGGAGACTCAAGCAGACATGTTTACTTCCATGAACTAACCTGAAGGAAACCTGCAGGTCTTTCCACACAATGTGTGCTGGCTGTAAAGAGTTTGTGTGTGTGTGTGTGTGTGTGTGTGTGTGTGTGTGTGTGTGTGTGTGTGTGTGTGTGTGTGTGTGTGTGTGTGTGTGTGTGTGTGTGTGTGTGTGTGTGTGTGTGGAGGAGTCAGCACACCAGTGTGTAGAGCTGTGCAGTACACTGTGTTACATTGGGAAACCTGAGAAATTTCCATCTCATGAGGGGTGGGAACCTTAAAAAGCAGAGCTGAGGTTCCCCATGAGGCCAAAGGAAAAAGGACACCGATCACTTCAGTCTGAGGTCCATGAACCAGAACCAGAACGCTTCCAGAACCACCAGCCGACTGTGAGTACTCTTTAATCTGTGCTTAATCAGCTGTGTGTGTGTGTGTGTGGTACCTTTGCTCTCAGAACCAGCTCCAGACATTCCTGGTTTAAAATAAGATTTATTGTCATTGTTTTTATACATGATGTGCACAAATTGATTTTGTATCTAACCAGATAATGTATATTAACTGCTGTTCAGTTATTACATTTAGGTACTTTCTTTAGTATTTTAATCCATGTTTATTCTGATTTTTTTTTTGTTGATTTTTTGGTCTAGTTTAAAAATAATTCAAAATACCCAAATGTGTTTTTTTTTTCTTATTTGTTTTGCAAATGTTTATTTTAGAAATATTCAATTGTTTGTAAAAAGAAAAAATAGTACATGTACTTTGTCAGTAAATAAAATTCAAATACAAAAAAATTCAAACTGATTTATCCAAAACAAAAAGTCAAATATCTTAAATCATAACATGTAAAGCATTTATATACTTTAGTTATTTATCCTTGAGTCTTAAAGCAATATTTGCAGCAATCAGGTCTGTACATCTGCATTCATGCTTCAGTGATTTATGAACATACGACTTGTTGAATAATGTATTTATATAATTTATTTGCATTCTAAAACATCTGAAAATGTCCAGTATTATAATAATTTGCTTGATTCGTGAACCGATACTCATCATCTAAATGTTTTCGGGGAATATTTTAATGAGAAAACGATGAAATGACATTTAAAATAGGTTCGTTGCTCATCAGATGCAGTCTCGGCATCAGACCCAGCACATCATGGCGAAGTTTCCATTTCATGTCGCATGAGTCATGCAAACTCGGTTACAACATCGAAACTCCCGCAGCGTTCTGTGAATGGCTCGACGCGGTGACGACACTCCCGCAGCGTTCTGAGAATGGGCCGCACTGTGACGGCCCGGCCGGGAGTTCGCTGAGGAAAACGCGCATCACTTCCCTCGGTGTGACACGTGGGAAAGCGGTGACGGCTCTCGGCCGCCCGCTGTCGTCCCCGGGAGGAAAACTGAAGTGAAAGTCGGCAGGTTTCCATGAAAACGAGGCTCGACCTGCAGACAGGTCATCGCCTGAATACACACCTGAAACGCACAACTTTACCGCGTCTCCAGTGATGCAATCAGTCATGTGACAAGGATGTTTTCATCACTGCTTCATAATCTCAGCGGTGAATTTTAAGGACTAGCGTTTCAGCTGCTTTCTGTTACACGCATCTCTGTAAAGACATTTCACACGACAAAATGCAACTGTTTGAAAGATGGTGAACATATAAATAGGCAGCGACTATTGTGATCAATATTTACGATCACAGTCAAATAGAAACACATGAGGCAGTGTGGTGCGTGTTTCTCTCATGTCTAAAACTATCCGTGTTTATCTAAGCACGTATTTCAGGATATTTTTTTTCTTTAGCTTCTGATATGTTAAAACGTCCAAATCCTCCACCCGTCTGAACAAATGGAAACGGTTTTTTAAAACAATATTACAAAAGTAGGCGTATATGTAGGAATTTAAACGTATGGACTTCCGTCAAGATCAAAATCTTCGGATTACAAGTTCAAAATGAAAAAACAACAAAAAGTGGGCTAAATGAGCCAGATCAAGTTTGAATCTAAGCGAAGACAAACTTGTTTCCCTTAATAAATGTGTGTTTTTAATCTGTCATTTCTGCTAAATTTCGCCGACCTTTGACACAGTCACTCTGTCGCTGATATGACTAATCATGTGGTTTTGTTGGTAAAGTCTTGTGGTTCAATGGAAGTGTGGGAGGGCCAGAGGTGTGATGGTGACAAGCCTGTGATGTCACCGTTTACGGCCCATAAAAACAGTTGAAATAAATCCTTCTGTCAGAAATCCCGGACCAACTCGGGGTCAAGGCCAGCGTCCGCAGCTCTCCACCCTCGTATTTATTCTTTCGCTTTGTTGTTACGGACGCAAAAGACGGAGCGCGTTTGAGCGACCCCTCGGACGCAAACGGGGACTGATCTCTGTTGTTCCTGCAGACTGCCGCCATGGTCTACTTCGCGTTGACGTGCGCCATGATCTTTGCCGCCGGTGTTCATGGGAGACGTTGGCTTCCTCCTCTGCCAGTGGAAAGTGAGTAATTTTTTTTTTTTTGTGCAATAAAAACTACCCTGTTGTCAATTTGATTGGGGGTTAGGGTCCCAGTAGATGTGCTGCATGAAAATAGAAAATTAAACAAATAGATGCACTAAGAACTTCAATATCTAGACCTGTCACAATAACAAATTTTAGGGATAATAAATTGTCCCAGCGGTTATTGCGATACCCGGTGATGTTGTTGCTTTGAGGGTATTTTTGGATAATCTAATGAATAATAATAATAAAGTGAATAATTTGGTCTTTTTCAAACAAATTGCCCTTCATAAAAAGGACAAGTTGAGACCAAAGCAGAGAGACGAGAGAAAAACGATAAATCGTGCAAAGGGAAATTATTGTACTTGTTTCAATTTATCATGCAACTAATAGATGTATTGTTCATTGTGACAGGCCTACGAATGACCAAATTAGTCACATGAAAAAGGATTTGGGTTTGGTTTCAGTTTTTGTGGTGCCGTTTCCCACGCAGACGGCTGTCACCAGGCGACTCCAGAGTTGGACTTTTTCCGAGTGGAGGGCGAGGCCGTGATCCTCGAGTTCCCCATCTTCATGCAGACCCTGGAACTCCGCGGCATCGCCCCGCCACCCGGCCAATACGTCATCAGCGGGAACAACGGGACGTACGGGAACGAGGGCCGGATCCAGCAGCACGGCGGAGAGCTGTGGCTCCTCCCGGCTCGGCCTTCCGATGCTGGGGAATACACCTGCACCTACAGGTGCTGCTCGCTCCTTCAAACGAAGAGGAGTTTCCAGTCAACCGGTCGAGTTTATTCGCACGGCACATTTTCAGCGGCCAGGCAGTTCAAAGTGCTTTACGTCGCAAAAACACAAGAGTAAAAATTTGTAAAGGACAAGAGTTGAGAATGCAGAAACAAGTGTTGATATTTTGACCAACGAAACGTTTCCGACACACATCGGAAACGTTGGTCAGAGCTTCATTTATGTGGTCTGAAAGTAACTGAACTTGTGAGCTTTTAGCCTTGATTTATTTTTAGTTTTTTTGTTTTTTACTTATTGACTATTAGTACCTAAAAGACTTAAGAAATTAAAAGTTTCTAATATGATTGATTCATTTATGCAAAATATGCATTTCCTTTCATATATCATTTTCTCCGTCATAGTTTTGTTTTGCATCAGATTTAGTAGCTACAGAAGCAGGCAGTACTTTATCATTATTATTATTGTTATCATTATTGTTATTATTAATATTATTGTGTTTGTTATGACGTGAAGCACTTTGCTGCTGAAATGTGCTGTGCAAATTAAATTTGATGGACGGATTTTACTCTCAATCATAATGAAATCACACCTCTTATCAACTGCAGACCAAGTTTTGTTTTCTTTTAAAGGAACATAAACATTCATTCGTCTCTGTGCAGGAATGAAACGTACTGCGTCTCGGGGAGGGTGACGCTGCACATGTACGAGTCCTACTCTGCGGACATAAAGACCATCTCCTACGGCTGGTCGGCCACGGTTGGCGAGAGAGTGGAATTTTACTGTCCGGCTCTGGAGCGCTTCAACAAGACAGGCCGGCCAATAGAGTGGCACAGGGTGAGGGAACCAACCCTCCAGCCGGGATCTTGTCTCTTAAAGCCTGAACTAAAAGTGACAGCATCTTTTTGTTTTTTTGTTGTATTTTTTTTTCTGACAGGGCGCAGACTTCACTGCCCGGCTGAAGGTCAGAGATACCCTCACCATCCCGGCAGTGAAACACTCCCATGCCGGAGTCTACACCTGCCGGCTGACGGTGCTCATCAACAACCTGCCGTACACAGTCAGCAGGGCCTACCTGCTCCATGTGGAAGGTTGGTTTTGTTTAGATGTTCCCCGAATGCACGATTAACTAATCATCCATATTACGAATATGCTTCACTTACATAACACTAAATATGAGGTTTAAAAATAGAAAAAAAAATCTCACTGACTAGTTCATGTGCAGCTGTTAAGGGAAAGCAACAATCTATTGTTAATCTATGATTTTAAAAAATGTTTCACTGCCCTCTGCTGACTAAACAGAGGGGAAAAAATATGTATATATTTATTTATTTATCTATTTATTTATTAATGACTCTGTTTCGGGGATAACCTCTCGAGACGTATCATCTAATTTTCAAAGACGTCCTTACAAAACATAAAAATTAGCAGTGATAATACAAATTACAATCCGTAAAGCCAAAATAAAATATCTTTCCTCGTTTTTGTTGTTGTTTTTTTCTAGTGTAATGCAACCAATCACCTTCCAAAACTCATCTATTTAGTAAACAGAGCCTAAACGTGTTCACTTAAACATTTGAAATGTATTAATTAGTCAGCATGGACAATGCACATCAGTTCATGTTTCTGTAAACGCGCCAAAATGAGCCAGAAGGCTGTTTTTCTTCCGTTGTCCCTGGACAGTGAGTAATCTGTCCCGCTAAGAACAAAAGAAGCTGTTATACAAAAGGGAACATTACCAGGTTTAAAGGGTCACCAGGTAGGGGAACGCCTGTCATTTGAGTTTCTCATTCTGGATGCGCTGTCCGCCAGGTTCAGACCCTGCAGTCACTGCCTCCAGGCCCGTTGTCACCACGCCCTCCGGTCCGGGTCAGCCCAGCAGCAGCACCCTCAGTGCCGTCAGCGGTGAGTTTTGTTTGGTTCCTGGACTGATCCAGTGTCCTCTGGGAAAAGAGTCAATTAGATTTAACTGATGAATATCTGTGTTTCACATCCTGCAGTTGTGAAACCACCAATGATTGTCTCACCAGTCAATGGGACCGTCTTCGAAAGCTCTCATGGTACGTGGTCATGTGTCGTCGTGTCTCCTGCTTTTTGCTCACAGTCAAGGATGTTTAACTAAATACTTGACCGATGTCCTTATATTTTTCACCAACCAGGTTCAGGACTGGAGCTGTTCTGTCTGGTGGTCACTGAATGCCAACAGGTAGACTCCACTGTGGTCACATGGCTGGTGAACGGCCAATCAGTGGAGTCGACGTACCTCGACAGGCGGGCTCTGCAGGGAGGAAGAAGGTAACACTATGCGTAAACCAAAGTGAGGGGAAAAAATAACAAGACCTGACTTAAAAATGATTGTAGAGATAATCCATAGAAGAAATTATGTTTGTGGACTCCAACAGTGGTTGGGGTTGTGAAAAGATGACCCTAACTGCAAAAATATTTAACCACAAACACAAGAGACAATCTGAAAATCTGAAGAAGGAAAAAAAAAGGAGTTATTACTGCAAAACGTGCCTTCTTAAAAATGAAACGCACAAAAAATAATGCATCACTTGTGGTTCTTTTGCTGTGCAACCTGAATAACTGTTTGCAGTGAATAAAGAGTGGGTTGAAAAGGATTATTACCACCAAATAATATTAGTATTTAATAATAATTTAAAAAAAAATCTAAATCAAAAATCATTGCCTGTAAGGCCTTATGCCTCATGATCAGTTCTTTGGCGATTGTTAAATCACCAGATTAAAACTCCATCATCTCAAATGAAAAAGAAAACTTGTTCTCCAGTGTGTAGTTGAGATCAATAAACAGGTATGTGACATTAACAGCATGAGACAATGTAATTTACCATCTTGCTGTTTCTTATTTTGTCCCGTTGAAGAAGTTTAGCAAACTCTGGTCAAGTGGTTCAAAATGGCCGCCTGTTAAATAACGTGAAGGCTCCTGTTCGTTTCGTCAAATATTTCGTTCCAATGTTTAATTACAACCACTCAACAACTCAACCGTCTCCTCAGGAATACATCCTGGCATTTTGTCTGAACTCTGTCTGCTTTTAGCCCACCCCACGTCACTTCCTGGTCTTCTTCTTTGTGCTGACCATTGTCATAAACAACTATCAAAGGCACTGACAATAAATTCGAATATCCACTAAATCTGTGTTTGCCTTGTTGCTTTTAGGGTAACTCGGGTCCCTGAAAGGTGTCAGATCGAAGTGAGGTTCGTCATCTCCGCCATGACTGAGGAAGATGAGAAGACGGAGATGAAGTGTGTCACTCAGAACGCGGGAGGGAAACAGGAAGTCGTCACAATGCTTCGCCTAGAAGGTGAGTGACCTTGTGAACTCTCCAAACTGCTGTCCAGGGAGGTAATATGGAGCTAAAGTAATATTTCCCGTGTTGGAAAAACTGTAGGCAAAATAGCTAAAACCAACAATGTCACACGATCGTCGACGAAATGCAAAAACACACAATGCAACAACAGAATCCACAACAGAAGTTATGCCAAATCGGAAGTTTTTCACAACTTCCGATTTTCATAGCGCTTGTGGCTTTTTGGTGTTGCGTTGTGGCCTGTCTGGAGCCCCGTAGAAAACACACTGGAAACATCAGAATCAACGGTGTTGTCACATCATAATAACAATCTTAACCTCCTGTCTTTGTTTTTTCCAGATGATACCTTCACATGGCTGGTTGTGGGCGTGGTGACAGCGTCCTGCTTCCTGACGGTGGTCTGCGTCTTCCTCTACGTTCTCTTCAAGCCAAAGACCAAGAAGAAAATGGATTACATTCTCGCTCGCCAGAGCAGCACCTTTTCAATTTAGCTTTTGTTTCACGCACTCCCTCTAGCAAACAAGAAATGCTCCTCTAAACAAGATCTGGGTAAACTGTAAAAACGTGACCTCCGTTTTGATGGATCTGGTACTTGGAGTTCAGGTGGCACCAAAACTTTTCGTTCATGAACGGACCAGCCACTGGAGAGGAAGAAGGAGGATGTCACGATGACAACCGTTTTCATCAGCACCACTAATTGATGAGATTGTTTGCTGTGGTTTTACACTTCTGTAATTTAAACCATATCAACCTCCATCAGTTTAATTAAGTTTTTTTTTTTTTTTTGCTAAGTAAAATGAAGTGACTACCTCAGTTACCAGATGTTAAACATATGTATTTTTTCTGCTCATTTGCTGTAGTATGCATCAAGTATAACGGATATATTGGTATGACTCGCAAATGTTCTCAGGGAGAAATTGAATATTAACCCGTTTAGTTTTTTGATTATTTTTTTTAATGTCAAACATTTAAAGGACAGAAATAAAAGAAAACTTTGAACGTGTTTTTTATTATTATGATGATGATTATTGTAATTGAATGTAACACTCCTGCTGTTGTATCTTACATAGAAATCAACCAAATGAATTAAATGTCTCCTACGTGAATATTCTGGTGTTATTTTTAGCCTCAATGCGCATAAATATTTCCAGTGGTTCTGCGGGTCATTTCTGTCAGTAACAGTGACGGCAACATGGAGAGTTATCACGATGACGCTTGAAAACTTCCCTGGCCTCATGCTAACGGCTAGCAGTTCGATATCTTCCTTTTGGCCTCCTTGTTTTCCGCTAAGCTGTGGCTTCATGACAACAGAGCCTGTCGTAAATGCTAAGGCTAGTTAGCATGAGCGCCGACGACGGCGAGCCCATGCTAACTAGCCAACGGCGGCATTAGCATCGCCGTTAGCACATTTAGCTACACTAACCAATTCTGGCTCCAATTGGTTGTTTTTGGTCTCATTGTCCTGTCACGGTGCGTTAATAGTGTTAACAAATATGTAAAATAGATAATTTTTTAAAAATAAAAACAACATACTGCAGATTTGATGGGAAGCTCCACATGACGCAATCCAGATTAACGACTCTAAACTATAAAATTAGATTGAAACCACCCACGCGCTTCCCGTGGTATCCTCTCAGCTGTGTCCAAAACAAGTCAGAGGAGAAGGAAGCAAATAGACAAACCCAGTTTTTTTTTTAATTTTCCAAAGATTATTGATCTTCATGTAACATTTTGACCATAGATTTTATTCTTCTGTTGCTAAAAGACGGGAGCAAATAGGAACAAAAATGACACTTTGAACATTTAACGCTATTATTCTAACGCGCACGTTCAATAACTACCGTAAAAAACAGAAAAGCCTCCACTTAGATAAGAAGCAGAAACTATCATTTACACAAATGCGTTTTGTGCTCCATTATAAACTAATCTGCACCTCAAACATAGAAACATAAATAGTGAATGTAAAGATTTACAATATTTAGGAAAGTGTGCGCTTTCTTTAAATATTGTGTAATGTCTCATTTCAACCACAAGAGGTCTCTGCACGCTCTAATACAAACCAAACGCACGTGAGAACGAGGACAGGCCCGAGGGAAACCGGTCTTGTGCGAAATTCGGTTCCCCTGCGTCGGGAGCGCGCATTACAGCCAGAGAGGCGAAAGAGGCGGATCTGGTCATTTTCACGTCGCTTCTGATTGATTTCTCGGTAAAAAAAAAAACAACTAATACAACCATGTCAATGTTGTAACACTCAGTTTAATTTGCAGCTGTTGTTTACAAAAATTGCAAAATAAATAAATAAACGAGGTCTTCTGACGCTGTTTTGTGTTATTGTAAACACCAAGAGAATCGCTCTTTTCTCACGAAAGTGAGACAGACAGAAATAAAAGTCAGTCACCAAACACAGTTTTCCCAACACGTAGTGTGTATGTAAAGGTTTTTGTGAATTTGGAAACAGTTGTTCTTTATTCCCCAAGGTTATGGAGTAAGGAGAGGAAATAATGGATGATTCAGCAGCCTGAAATATTCTGTTCCCCCTCCATAAAATGGGAACAAATTATTTTACCTGCAAATGCTTAACTTTGCCTATTCCTCTCATCATCAACAATAAATACTGTGATTTTGGTATCATTTGCTCTTATTTTGCCAGAGTTATGAGGGGGGAACCATATATTTCTGCTGGCTAAAATATTCTGTTCCCCCTCCATAAAATGGGAACAACTGCACTTACCAGCAAGATTTATATTTATGAAGAAATTCACCATAATTAAACAGTTGACCATTCTCATTAAACAAGTGTTTTAAAGTTAGAATATCATTATCCACCCAGTTCTTAAGAAATATAGATTTATGCTTGAAGCAAATATTTTGGTTATTCCAAATAAAACATTTATGAGAAATATGTTTACAATTTGTCACGCTTCCTGCTCCTCCAGAGACATCACACATTCTAGAACAACTAAACAGTCTAACTGTTCATAAGGACAATGATTAGTGTTAATGCAAGTTAATTCAAACCTATCACTCATGTTTCAACCGTGCTGCATCAAACTCACTGAAATCGATCCTTGTCCTCCCCCTGACAGGAATGTGGTCCAATATTTGGTGTGTGTGGCCCAATTCCTCCACAACACACCCAAGAATATCCTTAAAAATCATCCACAAGCCACGATTTATCCAAGAATTATGAAACTTGGCACACATTTGAAAGAGGAGTTTGATTTAAGTCAAAATCCTAGTGGCCAAAGCTACTTTAAGCAAACGAGAGGGGAGAAGACTTGGGAATAAGGTCAACTAGAAAAGCCAAGTAAACCAACGGTCATCTTTTGGGACCGAACCGGAGAGAATCCACTGATTGGAGAACATGCAAACCATGAAGGCAGAAAATAAATGTTTTAATCACACTAGACAGAATTTAGAGCCAAATTAACTAACAGTCGTAATGTCAGACTGTGGCAGGAAGCCGGAGCGCCCGGAGAGAAACCTGCAAACAGGAAACCTGTCTAATCTTTTTAGTTCATAAATTTAGATAAGACCCGGTCAGATTTCTCCAGCCTCCAAATGGTCACTAATTGTATCTTTTGGAATTTCCTCATAATCCAAATCAGTTAAGTTTGGCTCCTCTCCAAACGCGCCTTGGTCGCCTTGGAGAGGAGGGGCTGGAGAACTTGAGACATCAGTGACTAGCTGATGTCTCCTTACCTTTTCGTTACGTACAAACAAAACTCCCGTTTGATTCATGTCTTCACTGCAGAGGTCATCTGCAGAGAAGACATGATCATTTTCTGCCTTCAGAATTTGATGTTCTCCCATCAAATACGTATAAAACTGGGTCGACAATGGACCCTGACAGATCACAGAGGACAGACAGAACCGCTCCGTCCCGCAGGCAGACTGTGCGGGCACATCCATAGTCTGGTTGGCCGTCACTGGATGGATCCTGGTCCGCCTCGGGAGAAAAAACACCAGAACGTTGTTACCCCAACTGGTGCTTCTTCTCCAAGGCAGACTTGCAGCCTGAGCAATGGCGCCTGCCTCCCAATGCCAACCAATCGTCAAAAAGAGTAACTAAATCAGTTGGAAAAGTTGCCGCTGGCAGGGCAACCACGGGGCCATCGCTCAGGAGCTCCAGGCAGCTGGTATGACAGACAGAGCAATTGTTGGAGCAGTACAAGTCTCTGTCTGTCTCCCCACCAAGTGAGTCCAACCATATTAACAAGGACTCCAGCAAACATTTTACAGCGTAATCCCTACACATGTCCAAAAACAGATTTCTCTCCATCAGCTCTACCAGAGCTGGGGAGAGGTCTGTTGCTGTAAAATGTCTGCCCGGATGGCGGACGGCTGCAAGGATTAGACTTGCGCAGCACGGAATGGATGAAGCCTCCAGAAACACCCGTTCCCGGGCAAGACACCGTCTGGTGACACCCAGGTTCAGGAGGCTCTGGAAAGTGGCATTCATCCAGCTACTGTTCAGTTCATTGGAGAACTGACAGTAGCGTTCCATGCCCGCTTGTCCGGATCCTGCAGCCTCTGTCTTCCCTCCATCTGTCATGTCTAAGCCGACCCTCTCTTCCGAATTAAGATCCTCCTCCGGTAAACAGTTAATTTCGAAAGAAATCGTGACCCTACCATTTAAAGACCTCTTTTTTGCCTCTGAGGTACCAAGTTCCCCAGCTGGGGAACTTGGTACCTCAAAGGCACTGGTAATGGTGCCTTTCAGAGACTTCGTTGATGACCTAAGAGCTGGGACCACTGAAGCCAAGGCTTCTGCTGTGAATTCAGCAAAAGCCTTGGCTGCAAGGTCGGCCGCAGATACATCTTCCTCAGCCGGGGCAGATGCTTCTGCGGCTCGTCTCTGGCACGCAAAATACTTTGAGCAAACCTCCCCAGCCGGGTTGGTTTGCTCAAATTTAGTACCGTCAAACTCGGTACTGTCTCCTGTCGTCAGGTCTCCGTCTGCTGTCTCACACTCCTGCCCAGCCGGGTCAGTTTGTCTGGAGACAGTACCGTTGTCTGCGGTACTCTCTGGTAGGGTCACGATCGGGTCTAGTTCTACAGTCCCTAAGATGTCCGCTGGTTTGGAACAAACCTCCCCAGCCGGGCTGGTTTGTTTCTCCTGAAAATCCTCAAAGTCCCGCGAGTCCTTAGAATCCGGCAAGTCCTGACAACCTCCTTTGTCCTCCTCAGGAAGGCAATAATCTAATAACTTTTTCATGCCGGTGGTAACGGCGTATCCCAAGCCCCAACCCAGTGGGATAAACAAAGGTATGAGTCCGTTCAAACTAGACATCTTCACAAATTCTTCGCAAATCTTCTTCACTGAAAGCTGTCTGAATCCTGACTGAAGCACTGAGATTCCTACTTGAGAATTTCTTTGTCATTGATGACATCATCAGTGACCTCACTGGACTTCAAGGGCAAGGTATTGCCTCTGGTCATCACTATGGAAACGATATCAGTTCTGGAAAACTCAAGCTGAAATAATGACTGAATATTTTAAAAATAAGTAATATTTTATTTATTCAACAATAGATTTCTATATGATTTAATTATTGCATTTGTGGTTTTCCAAACCTGCTGTGGCATTAACAGCCTTAAGCCATTTATCCACTGATATTTTTAAACGCAATCCTATGGTAAGCTAATTGTAGCTTCGCACTCTGAGCTCAAGTCACATTATAAATATTTACATGCAATAAATTGACATATATTAAATATTTACAATATTTTGCAAGCAATATATCTACACTTTAATTACTCATCTGCTTTTATTTTGACACAGTGCAGTGTGAAAGTGAATTAAGATCTCTTCCGAATTAAGATCCTCCTCCGGTAAACAGTTAATTTCGAAAGAAATTGTGACCCTACCATTTAAAGACCTCTTTTTTGCCTCTGAGGCAAAAAAGAGGTCATCATCAACAATAAATACTGTGAATTTGGTAGCATTTGCTCCTACTTTGCCAGAGTTATGAGGGGGGAACCATATATTTCAGCTGGCTAAAATATTCCGTTCCCCTTCATAAAATGGGAACAAATTATTTTACCTGCAAATGCTTAACTTTGCCTATTCCTCTCATCATCAACAATAAATACTGTGATTTTGGTAGCATTTGCTCCTACTTTGCCAGAATTATGGGGGGGAACCAAATATTTTAGCTGTTTTACCTGACTGAAATTATCCGTTCCCCTCAAAAACATGGAAACAAATGTATTTATCAACAGTAATCATCAACAGCAAACTGGCTGTTGGCAAACAGCAAGTTTGAAAACATTTCATCACTATTTGCTCCATCACCATCTCCACCTGCTGCAGCACCTCCCCTGCTCCAGTCCCTCCACCGACTCCATCCCCACCTCCTGCTCCATCACCGTCTTCCTCTTATTTTAATAAAAGGAATAATTTCAGTATCATTTTGTTTTAATAATATACTGAAATTATTCCTTTTATTAAAATAAGATGAAAGCATATCAGTACAAAGACATAAAGTCTTTGTGAGACATATATGTATGATAATAAAAACTGAAATGCATGTGCATTGATATATATTTATAAGAATTGGAAATCAAATTTACATTTCTCAGCTTGAGTTTTTTTCTGGACTGGACAGGAGTCAATGGCAGAGCAGAGGAAGACGTCTTTGCTTTCATCTTATTTTAATAAAAGGAATAATTTCAGTATATTATTAAAACAAAATGATACTGAAATTATTCCTTTTATTAAAATAAGAGGAAGACGGTGATGGAGCAGGAGGTGGGGATGGAGTCGGTGGAGGGACTGGAGCAGGGGGAGGTGCTGCAGCAGGTGGAGATGGTGATGGAGCAAATAGTGATGAAATGTTTTCAAACTTGCTGTTTGCCAACAGCCAGTTTGCTGTTGATGATTACTGTTGATAAATACATTTGTTTCCATGTTTTTGAGGGGGAACGGATAATTTCAGTCAGGTAAAACAGCTAAAATATTTGGTTCCCCCCTCATAACTCTGACAAACAAGGAGCAAATGATACCAAAATCACAGTATTTATTGTTGATGATGAGAGGAATAGGCAAAGTTAAGCATTTGCAGGTAAAATAATTTGTTCCCATTTTATGAAGGGGGAACGGAATATTTCAGGCTGCTGAATCATCCATTATTTCCTCTCCTTACTCCATAACCTTGGGGAATAAAGAACAACTGTTTCCAAATTCACAAAAACCTTTAGATACACACTACGTGTTGGGAAAACTGTGTTTGGTGACTGACTTTTATTTCTGCCAGACTTACGTGAGAAAAGAGCGATTCTCTTGGTGTTTACAATAACACAAAACAGCGTCAGAAGACCTCGTTTATTTATTTATTTTACAATTTTTTTTAAACAACAGCTGCAAATTAAACTGAGTGTTACAACATTGACATGGTTGTATTAGTTGTTTTTTTACCGAGAAATCGATCAGAAGCGACGTGAAAATGATCAGATCCGCCTCTTTCGCCTCTCTGGCTGTAATGCGCGCTCCCGACGCAGGGGGAACAGATTTTCACAGGGGAACCGAATTTCGCACAAGACCTGTTCTCAGAAACGCTGGGAAAAAGCAGTTCTCCTTGTCCAGCAGGCTGGGAAAACGACACACGCCGGTGATTCTGGCTGCAGTGTCATGAGTTAAACCGCACAAAAACAGAGAGAAAAACAAGGTGTAATGCCTGCCGTGTGACAGCAGAGCCCGGCGTGAAGCATGAAGAGCGGAATCCCAGCCTGCCTGCCTGCTCTCCTCCCAGCTGTTGCTCAACATGTTAGCACATCTGCTGGCGTTCAGAAGATTACTGAAAAGGAAATTGCTTCAGTCTCCACAGAAGAGGAAGTAAGAGCCGGGAAGAACGCGACGACTCAGCTTACTTTTTTTTCTGTTTCTTTTTTTCTTCTTCTTCTTCTTCCCTCTATAAAGATGTTTATAGAGGCTTCCTATGGAACCTGAGGAGGAGAGTGTCTTTACAGAGGGACTAGCGTAACACCAGGCTGGTGAGTTCTACGTTTCAAACGACATTAGCACGAGGAGTCAGAACCTCTTACATCAGAACCGACCTGGTGGGTCGTTCCTTTGCATCTGTTCACTGCTTCCGGAGCTAATACACATCTGAGGTTAGATTCCCCTTTGCTCACAAAGCACCACATTTATCCCCAACAATGCTTGCTTGTTTTTATTTTGTTTGTTTATTTTTATTTTGTAAAACTCAACATTCTTGACATTTAGCACGTCTGATGAACTGAGGTGGAGGGTTTTTTTTCTCCAAACACAACATAAAACAGGAAAGAAAAACACTTGAAAAGAAAAATCCAAACTCTGAGGACAATCTGCAAACGCTTCAGTAATGGTTTACACGTTTTGTCACGATCCAGCGTCACAATCCGAAAAATCACAATGTGCGATTTGGTCGATCGATCAACCAAACAGTCAATCGAATTTGATTTGCGTCACATTTCAGCAGCAAGGCGGTTCAAAGTGCTTCACATGGTGAAATCATAAAAACATATTTACTGATCCCAATGGGGAAATTGCTTCTTTTTTTTTTCTTTTTTGACAAGCTGCTTTTCAGTGTTACATATTAGCAAATGTAGCAATAGTACATGAGATGTATAATAGAAGTGACAATTGCATGTTTACATTAATAAACATAAATAAATAAATAGAAATAAGAGCAAGTATGTACATGGAAATATGTGGATCTGTAGAACGACAACTAAAATATCTGATACATTTCAACCAGATTTTAAGTGACGGACCAAAACAAACGGGGAAAGTGGGAGAAAAACAATAAGGAGTTTTAAAACAGTTTTACAAAAAAACACTTGATGGATGTGGACTGAAAGAAACTTGAATAAAACGAGTCACGTTGTCAGTAAAAAAAAACAACAACAACAAAAGACATCCAGCTGTGTGTCAGTATAAATACAGATGTTCAATGAAGGCCTTAGAGGTTCGTTAACGAACATCAGCGTCAAATACCGTAAACAGAAAAAAAATCTGTTAATTTGTTACAATCAAATAAAGTTTATCCAACTAAATACATAAAACTGTCATGTTAAACAAACGTAAGTAAAGCAAGTTTGCGAAGCTTCATTTTATTGCACATCAGAACTGAAGCTCCGTGTTTGTTCTTTCAGTTCAGCAGGGGGAAGGTCGTGAAGTTTACAGCAGGGTCAGGCTCTAGATCAACACCCCACGCTCTGGGGGTGTTGATGGATTGCTCGGTTCAATCCATCTTCCGACTGTGGAGACGGCGCAGCACGGCAGCTGACCTGCCAAGACACGACTATCCACTGAAATATGCGTCCTGGCTCATGATTTCTTATTCATATACTCACCCGTCTGGCTTCTTATTTTGCCGTCTTAGTGATGCCTTTCTCTTGGTTTGCGCCGCTCTGCCGAACAACGCTGCGGTCCGGCCGGCATGGTTTGCGAGCTTCAACTTGACTTTGACACAAATCTTGTGAAAGGGTGTCGAGAAGAAAGCTGTCCCAAATTGGAGGCAAGATTTGAAAATCGGCGTTCAGAGGCGCTCTTTAGCAGAGCAAAAATAAGCTGGAGATATTTTTGAAAAGAAGAATTAGCAAAATTGTGAGTTTCTGGATATGCAAAACTGATATCGGCTTACACTGAAGGATTTGCTGATGTACTTTGAGTGAAATGTAATTCTCCAAAGTATTGATCGAAGTGAGGTAATCGTAAATTCTCAGATTGGTAATTATGCACGATTATGTTTTGAATTCATGACAACAACAAAAAACAGAATGTGGAAAAGTTCAAGGTCATTTTAAAGGTGATCTGGAGTTCATCCCAGCTGTCAGAGACGTTTTATATATATATATATATATATATATATATATATATATATATATATATATATATATATATATATATATATATATACATATATATATATATATATATATATATATATATATATATATATATATATATATATATATATATATATATATATATATATATATATATATATATCACTTTTTCCAAAGATGGAATGAAAAAAAAACCAGTTGAGTTAATTTATGACCGTATATAAAGACTGGGCAGATCTTTCTAGAATATTGTCGGGATATTTGGATCACATTTGTTCCCAAATAAATAACTTTTGTTGATGATGCATTGTTTTTTTTAATCTGTGCACATGGAAATGGTTGTACTTTCACTGCTGAATGTTGTGTAGCGTTCTCCAGATGATTTTATTTATTTGCTCAAATGTGTTTGTAGTGATGTGTTGTAATCTTCTATTGAACTGAAGAAAGTGTACTGGAGGGGGGAAAAAATCCTGTAGATTTATTGTTAGATGACACAGGGGGAAATAAAGAAGTCCAGGCTTTTGCTTGCTGTCACTTTGTGGGTCGTAGTTGTTTCACGCTTTCTTTGAACAGTGTGACGTTTTTGCGGTGGGCTGTGACTGATTGAGACTGACTCATAACTAAATGCTAATGTATGACTACTGTGAAGTTCGTAATCCAATGGGGAAACCCGTGGCCCTAAACACTTCTGGGAGACAGCAAGATGTTTGTTTTATGGGAAACCGTACTCTTTTCCTCTCGTCGTAAATGTACATTTTTGCAAGTCCTGCAGAGCAATATGAAAGAAGCGCCTGGGAATATAGCTGCTAAAAAAAATGATGCTTCTGATGCACAATGTGACTCTGAAGAAAACACACACACACATATATATATATATATATATATATATATATATATATATATTTTTTTTTTTTTTTTTTTTTTTTTTTTTTTTTTTTTTGCATTCACAAAGACTAAATTTTGACTCCAGTTCTGACCAGCATTTTTTCTCTAAATTGTTGTATCCAGTCCCTCCAAGCAGCCGAGGGTATGCTTCTTTATATCAGTGGAGCATTCAGTGGTTTTATGAAACTAGTGAATGGAAGCTGCAGAAAGTCTTCCTTTACTACAAATATAATGAGAATTTCATCCTGTAATAATGTAACTAGTAAAAATGCATTTGTCATTTATCTGATAAAGACAAAGGATAAACATTTATTGATTTATAATCAAGTTTGTGGATGTCGGCAAGCTTTGTTTATTGAAACAAGGAAAAGAAAGCCAATTCTATAAAAAGCTGTCCTTCTTTGAGAAAGTTTATGCTCACAAACAACACTCGGGAGTCACCTTAAAGGTTTGTTTGCTGACTCTGCTAGAGGTTTTGTTCTGTTGCCATGGCATAACGACTGGCGTGTCCTCATTGCTCAACTTCGGGTTGTGTCATGTTATTAGAGGAAAACAATGTTGTGGTGAGTGAGTCCTCTTTGCTTTCTAAATTATCAGCCGTAATTTATTCACAATGGGAAGTCGTATTTTCAGCCTGGATTATTGAAAGGCAAGTTTTCAATTTTTGGAACTTGAAGGGATCATAATGAGGGGAGTTATTTTTATGTGCAAAAGTAATACTGCAAAAATTAATACTCTTTCATCATTTTTTATTTTATTTTTTTTGTTGTAACTATTGAGTCCATGAAATTATTTCCAGTTGCAGTCATGACACAGTGGCTGCTATCATTTAGCTGTTTCTAGGTGAGCTTACGGTCAGTTAGTCACCTGGGGATGGGCGTCAGAACGACTTTGTCAGTGTGCTGAAATGCCAAAGGAAGGTGAGCGGAGAGCGTCCAGCCGCAATCCAAACACACTCTTCCTTCTCTCTTGTGTTGTTTCGTCCCGTGGAGGTGGAACCAAGCTAGTGACTAACCGGCTGAGCTGCATGGTGGAGACTCCACTTTGCACGCAAGGGTCAGAGGTGAGGTTTCCTCTCTTTGCTCTGGCATCCCGTGTAAACTCTCTAATCCTTCCTGTGTCTCTCGCCGCCTCGCGCGTTGCTTGATCTTAGGTGAGTCAATGCACTTTACATGTTTGCTCTGAGCTTAGGGTACAGATTTTTTATTTCATTTTAGATTTTTTTATTATTTTTTTGAATGCTCTTGTAGGAACTGAATCACCTAATATTGCCCGCGTAGTCTCATTTGTATAAATAGGACGTCAAGAAAACACTTTTAGTGTTGAATATCCGACTGAAGAGCTTTTTAAGTCCAACTTCAAAAGGAGGCTCACTTCCTTTCTCTTCCTGTCGCAGATGGAGAAACTGCAGAAAGAGTAACTATTCTTAAGCAATGTATCACAAAGCATGTATAGAAAGGCTTGGTGATGCAACACCTTAATGCTGTGCTTACCCGAGATTGGTTTTGGGATTACTAATTAACAGCGTTGGGATTTTATTGTCCTCCCTGTTTGCTCTTCTGTCTACATTTATTTCTACAGTTGCAGCTACATGTGTTTTTAACAACAATCACTGCTTCTGGTTTGGACATGGTTAACCACTTTATGCATGGAACAAGTCAAGTTGTTGTTCAGTAAACCGCCAGTGGGTTTTATGTAAGTCTAAACTCTGAGCTGAGGTCAAAACCAGTCTAGATTGGCACCTACCCCTTCCGTCCCCCAAGCCATGGAGCTTAGTGTATCTTGACTTGAACATCGTTTCTTCTTGATGCTGTTTGCTCTGTTAACACGCAGCCTTGCCAGTGCATTTTGTTCTGTTGCATCGCAGCTACTGTTGAAAGAGGTGTGATAAATCAGGCTGCCAGAAATCTCTCAGAGCGTCTCACCACAAACCAAAGCAGGAAAAAAATCTACGCTACAAGAATACGAGATGCGCTTTCACTTTGCAGAATGTTTCTCTCCGTCCGTCTTGCCCTATGTTGATCCCCAGTTGTCGTGGCACGCTGAACTCCCGTTGTGTTGCTTCTTTAGTGCAAAATGAGTCATGGATTTTGACAGCCTCCCACATTAATCTCAGTTACAGAGATTACAGTAATTACACTTTGAAAAGTCATTACAGTTCGTTTCATTCTTATGTTTTTTTTTTTTCTTTCGCTGGAACGATTTATTTTGACGCCCCTGAGATTTGCTGCTCCTTCCTTCTACCCCAAGTCTGCATCGTTGGTTGAGAGATCTTTTCTCAGGCTTGGCTAAAAATAGGACGGGGTTCAGACCTCGCTCTTTGACAAAAGAGAAAGCACGTCCAGTTCTGATCCTGAGAACGCAAGACTTTCCAGAACAGAAAACGAACCCAAATGTGAGAAACTCGAAGATGCGAACAGAAGCGACAAACCCGACACCACCAGACCGCAACCGGCAGATGAGGGGACCGGGGACATTTTTAACAACCAAGAACATTTTCATGGAGCATGTGTGATATCTGTCTACCAGTAAGAGAGAAATCAAGCATTTTTACAAGAAATAAAAACTTCCTAAACATGGTAAATATTACCAAATATAATCCCTCATCCATTTACAGTGGAAGGGTGAGTACAGAGTCTGTGTTGCCTTGTAATGAGTTGGCAACCTGCCTCAGCTATTGACCACTATTTCCTCCTTAATGGATGATTGGAGAACTCTTCACTTTTAGGAACTTCTAGACCAACTAAAAACATTTCAAAAACTTGCAAGTGGACCTTTTTTTTAAACAGTTTCATAACCTACAGGAAAGATGAATCCATCCATCAATTTTTTTATACCCGCTGTCCTTGCAAGGCAGTGCCTTTCTCCAGTGGTCATTGGGCAACACCCTGTGCAGTTCATCAGTCTTTAGGGCAACTGAGACAAACAGGAGAACCATGTGCAGACTCTCTCAATTTAGATAGCAACGAGTCGTGCTTTACAGGATGCTGAAGTACCCAGAGAGAATCTACCCAGGCACAAGCAAACTCCATCAAGAAATAGCCCAGACCACAAATCGCACTCAGGACCTTCGTTGCTGCAAGGGACGAGTGACTGGTTGCAAAAAACCTCACAAACATTCAAACTCTTACAAGAACAATGCATTTTTCTTTTCTTTTTTTTAAAGAAAAAAGATTTGCAGAAGTTTGAAGAAATTTGTCTATTGATACCTCAAGGTGGCTGAAAGGTTGTTGAGGTTAATCAAACAGCCCACTCAAGACTGTCTGTTTCTTTTTCAAGGCTTATGACGTTGTGGTGCTGCAGGCCGGTAAGGACACAAATTCTACAGGGAGCAGGCAAGGAAAAAGAAAAAGGGCGGGCGGGGATGGATACGCTGTTCCCAAAAGTCAGGAATGGCACCCTGGAAGGATCGCGTTGGAGACTAAAACAACTACATGCAGCCCCGGCTACCTTAGTCTAATTTAGATGACACTGGCTAAAAAGTACCTCTAACTGGAATGGATATGTTGTTCATTTTATTTGATTTTTACTCCTTCATCTTTATTAGCGGCTACAGGTGAACTCCTCTCTTTCAGGCAGTCCATGACAGCAGGTGGAGTGGCAGCGAATTGACCTTCTTGTATAGGCGTCTGCAGTAATTTCAGGTATTAGCAGATGTTATCTCTCTGGTCAGGGATGAATGGCAGCCGAAGCTCTACACTCATCCAGGGCGTGTCAGTCCACGGAGCAGATTGGGACTTGCCTTGCAGGCTCAGTGCACGAACCAAGGATCGAGGTTTCAATTCCTCAATTCCCCTATGTCATTCGAAATCAAATCATTCTCCCTTTAACAAAAATTTGACATTTTTGCTTACCATTTCTTCCTAGTGATATAAGGAATGGGAACTAACTTAGCTGATGTGAACCTCACCCAAAAAAACTCATTGTCCCAAGCTGACCTTTCTAGATCTTTTTCCCGTGTCGCGACGCGAGCCAGCGCGTGCGACCTCGACATTTCACACGCACAGATTTTGTTGGGTGTTTGGCGATTGCACCTCATCGTGCAAGTTCCATAGGAAATGAATGGAAATGGAGCGACGTTGCAAACCACAAGAACTTTCAAGCAACCATGTTAAGAAAAGACATATTACTGCACCTTATATTCAGAGTTACATTCAGAGAAATTGATTTGCAGGTGAAACTGAGGTCGGAAGCAGAGCATCGCCAACATACCTGTGGAGGCATGAAGACATGGCATGAAGCATTTCCAGTGGGACAAACTGTATGGCAGAAAAGCAACGTAACTTAAAACACCTACATTTTTGGTTTGTATACAAATTTATTGTCTGACACTCGTAGTAGAAATGATTTGCATGTTTGGCCTCAATCACCACCTCCAACGTCACTTCTGTGTGCCAATCGGCTTCTTTGCAAATAACCGTCTAATGCAAACGTGATGACGGTTTGAAGGTTCATAAATTAGCGTTTCTGTCACCTGTCATGAAACTGCATTTGTTTTCAGACAGTAAGACTGTAGCCTCAGCCAACTAATCTGGGTTTATACTGAACAAAGACGCAGGAAATGTAACTACTACATGCAACATGTTACCTTCTTGTAAAAATAAAAAAAGCTCCGTTCAAAAATGTAGAGTCATCCCTTTAATTTGCAGAAATTAAAGGGATGACTGAGAAAACGCAGACAAAAACCACCGGCATTTGCAGCGTTCATATTTAATTAGCCAGTAAAAATTTAGTCTGTGTCTTTGCCATCTTCTCTTTGTTCCCTTCTGACTTGTCTGGAATCTGAAGTGCTTCGTTACATCACATCAACCACATCTCTGTTGCATTATGAGTAACACTAAACTCATTCCTAACTTCAGATTTGATGTCTCAGCTTGTGAACATGACGCAGTGCTGACTGCAAAGCTCTTGACGTCCCATGTTTACAAGCCTATCGGTTCCCGACATGTCATCAGGGACCTTGGACCCGTGTTCCCTCCTGTGCCTGAGTGTTGAAACGGCCGTCCCACAAACAGATGGACAAAGTTCGCGTGACTGAGCAGGACGGCTCGTCCTGCTCGCCATTGACCGAAGGCAAACAGAAATAAACACCTTTCCGTCGGTTTGCTGTCGTGAAATCACGTTGCACAAATCTACTGCGTCCGAGAGGCCCCATTACCCAACAGCGTGCTTTGCTCCGGAGAATGAATGAGTTTGTTTTGTTGGGAGCAGAAAAGTCTGTCCGGGAAGCAGTGAGAGCTTTGTGTTATCGCTTCAATGAAATAAAGATGAATTTTCCAGTTCTTCTTTGACAAGGACAAACAAAGTAACCACTTTATTGCTCTCTCAACCTCTCTGCCGCCTCCACAAGCGATTGTAACATTTATCTTTGTTTGCTTGAGAGATTAAGTGGATCCTGATAAAAAAAAAAATTAAAAAAAGCCTGGCTCTATTTTAACCCAACGTCCAGAAAATCTACTTTACAGTTTAAAAATGAATTTCAGTGAATTTTTTTTGTTGTTGTTAATCTTTCAAAACTTCGATTTGTTCCACAGCCAGTTACCGACACAGTGGAAGAGGAAACGAAAGTTGTAACTTGTTTTCTCACAGTTCAGACTTTTGATCTCAGAAGATTTAAGTAAAAAAAATCTAATAAAAAAAAAGTCTGAATTCTGAGGGGGGGGGGGAAAATCAGAAATTCTGAATTCTGGCTTTTTTTCCCCCTCAGAATTATTTCGTTTGTTCTCAGAAGATTAAATAAGTCCCTCGAATAACAATAAAAAGTTAGAATGCTGAGGAAAATATGTCATTGTTATACCCCCCAGTTGCTCTGTCTAAGCTTGTCCCAGATTTAAACTATATCCAACATGCTTTGACTCTACGACTCTGGATGGTTATGCTGGTTCTCAGTCATTCAGCAATCCCAGGTGCTTGAACAGAGATTGGCTGGACTTCTACTCCACTGAGATCTATGACTCTTGACTCGCCATCGGAGCTGAAAATTAGCGTCCGACTTTTTGAACCGAGTCGGCTCCAGACGAGTCGTGTCTGAAATTGGTGTTAAATCGTGAGGTTTATTGGTGCGGCCGGTAGAGCTGTTGCCTGGCAGCAGGAAGGTCACGGCTTTCAGCGTGGAGTTTGCATGTTCTCCCCTTACAGTCTGTTTTTTGGGAAAAAAGCTTAGCATCTCAGGTAAATTTCAACTTTATAAGCTCTCGGGCTGCATCACGGATCTTGCAAATTTATTTTTGGAGTGCGCTTTATGTATGTTGATAACCGTTTATTTTTAGTAGTTTGTTTTTTTTCTAAAAGTCTCTTCAGTGACAAATAAAACATTTTTATTTTATTGCCTTTGTGGCATTCAGCAAAAGAGAAGGACCTGAATTTTAGATATTTGTTCATTTACTGCTGCAGCCACTAGTCGTCCTGGTTTTATAATGTACAACTGCATTATAAGTTTATTACATGATTAATTTGGACTTCTGTGTCTAAAGAACAACAAATGCAGCATGATCAGAAGTAAAGGTCAGAAAAAACAAAAGAATGCAATTCTCCAAATCTAATCTGTATTTAAAAGGAGATCTTAATTCCAACTTGTTACAAGCCGGTCAAGGATTTTATTTTTTAGTTTTTAGTTGTTTTTTTTTTTTTTTGCTTTCCTAGCTTTTAATTCAACAGGAACATCAGGAGGACGTGTATCACACACATCTCTTTCAGTAACATTAGATCTCTGCAATATTGTTGTGAAACTACAGTTGAGAGTTGAAATAGTGCCAAAGGCCCGGTCATAATACAGACACACAATTGTACCTGAAACCCCCTTTTGTCAACTGATTCATCGCTGTTAGTCAAAACTGAAGCCCAGTCATTGCTTTGGAAACGGAAGAGCAAAGCTCTCCTGTCTGCCGCTGCAGTCAGTCACACGTTTGGTGAAAGATGCGGTTAGATGGAAAAAAATAAATAAATCGCTCTCCGTGGAAAAATCTGTGGCGTTAGAAACGCATGTAACCGACGACGATTTGATTTTTTATATCGATTCTTTGCTCTTTTTTTTTTTTTTTCTCCTCCTTTGAATCCAGAGAACGACGATGAAGCCGCATCTGTCTCCAGATGCGGGTCAAGCTGCACCTGTCGCAACTGTTGACGCGCAAGCAGCATGAAGCGCTGTGAAAGAAAGAAAAAAAAGTCTATCCATGGTAACCAGCACGGGCGTCGCTTTGGAGCCGGTCAAAAACAGAAACGCAAACGTTTCCTATTTGAAGCTGAACGCGCTCCGTGTGAACGTGGAGGTGTAAATAATCTACGGCGTGATGTCGAGGTATTGCTGTTTAATCTGGGCAGGAACAGGAAGTCACACTTGTTTCTGACGCTTCACTCGACCGGCCGCATTTTCCAAAACAGCCTTTATGTTCCACTTAAAAGTTATTCTCATCTCCATCACCTTAGAACAAATAAATTGTATTGTATTCAGGTAAACATAAATGTACTTCTCTGAAGAAAGAAAAAGAATGAAAGGAAGTCTATGGGTCAACATAATCCAGATTTTTAAATTTTTTTAAAAAAGATTGCCAAAAATAGATGTTGATGGGTTATTTCCTGGCCATCATAAAGGAAGGAAATCCTGCCAAAACAACTAATGTAACAACCAGAATGTACTTAACTTGCTTAGCAGCTGCAAAACACACTTTAAGTAGAAAACATAGCAGAATTTTCTGCCATTTTACTCCTAAAATGCTTTCCCACTCTGCATGGTCATGAAAACTTCATGAACTCGTGTGTATTTGCACAGTTTCATTTGGCTGAGGAGATCAAACGAAGGTGTGGAGAGAAATAAAAGTCATTACATTCTTGAAGATAAACCCCAGCAGGAAGAACCGTTCTTGGTATTAAATTTATCCTTGTTTTTAGTTTTGACTGTCTGACTTCAGCATTAGCTCTTTAGGTTTTAAGGAAATACAATCCTAAGCACAGAATACAACACCTTTTTTCTTTTTTTTTTCTCTCTGTTTTTGGGTTCATTTAGTCATCAGATAGTGAGAATGGCGTCTCAGTGCTCCCGCTTTGAAAGCATTACTCAGCGTTTTCCAGCAGGTTCTGCAGTGACTCCGATATCTGTGGTTGAGGTGCAGGGGGTGGGAGAATGGGGAAGGAAGGAGCAGAGAGAGGAAGAGAAACACATGTTATGAAAATCTTTACACTGGAGGTTTGTGTCAGAGACCCACCGGGTGGCACAACATGTTCAGACTGCTGCTCTAATCCATAAGACACAGTCATTTATGTCATTTATGTTTTTGCGTTTATTTTCAGCAATGGGCCCGAGTTCATCGCCGGAAAACTTTCTGCTGTTCCTCTGGATTTCAGGGATCTGTGGTGGACTGGCCCAGGCTCAGCTCATGAAAAAAGGTTGGTTATGTTTTCTGTCTTGACACAGATGTACAAAAAAAATTTTTTTGCTCTGTTGCTGTTGTTTTGCAATGTCGCTTATTAAATTACAAGTATATTTCACATGGTTTTGCTTAGTCAACAGCCTCCACTCGTCATGTGCAAGTATTTTACTGCCCTCTTGTGGAGAAAAATGACCCACCCGACTTACAAGAGCCAATAAAATGATAGATCAGTTCAACGTTTTTATTGAAGAATCTCGAAAATTAATTTTTTTCAAATAATATGGAAAAACTCTTTATTTCCATTACAGCAGTGTAATAGTTTGAGCTTTTTGCAGGGCTCCACTGGTATTTTGATAATTTATCTTTGGTGATCGATATTTGAGGCTGGAAGGTCTCCTTACCATCACCATAATCTTTTGATCCCTTCAGATATTATTTATCAGATTAAAGTCGGGACTCTGACTGGAACAGTTTTAAAATATGCACCTAATCAAACACCTGCAGCATTGCTATCAGATAAAGTTGACAGAAAGGATGCATGTGCTCTGTTGCTCACAAAAACGAGCGCGTTTAAAGTTGATGAAGTTTGACTCATACCTGACAGCTAAAAATGAACTTTAACAGGGACACCCAAAGTGACGTCATGCTGTGTAAGTTCACAGCATGAGCTTTCTGATGAAGGGACAGCGAATCTTAGCAGCTAAATCTGACAGAAAATTGAGATCTGAACACCTACTGGACATAAATAGTGTGACATGCATTGCAGATAACTGCACCAACTACCAGCTCGTGTTTGAGCGGGTGTTCTCTGTCCCCGGGGACGCGGCCATGCTGAACAGCACCCTGCTGTCTCCGGACGTCTTTGACTTCACCGCCGTCCCCTTCAACATCACCTGGTTCAGCACAAAGACGGGACAGGAGATGAGAAACGAGACGGGTCGGATTCTGGTGCTCCAGGAGACGCTTTGGTTCCTCAACACCACCATGGATGACGATGGGGAATACTTCGCTGTAGTGCGGTGAGAAACTGTCTGAAGCCAAAGTCATAATAACAAAGCCAAGGCTTTTGTGAAGGCTTCTATTTAGGCTACTACTTGTTAGAAAACTGATATCCATTGCAGGGTCTTTCTACATTAACTGTACCAAGTGAAGATATTTGCATCTTTTTTTTTTACCTCACTGTTTGAAGTGAAATATAACAAAATCGCTCTTGTTTTAGATTAGTTACTATTAGCAAAATTGTTTCTACTTGCTAAATGCCACACAGTCAGAAGCTCTCGCACGTTTTCTTAGTATTTGGTGGCATTGCCTTTGAAAGTTACAACTTGGGTCAAACTGTTTGGGTTTCCTTCCACAAGCTTCTAACAATAGTTTGCTGGAGTTCTGGCCCATTCCTCCCGACAGGAACTGAGTCAGGCCTGTCCAGATCTGCCCACAACTTCTCCAAAGGACTGCGATCAAGGCTTTGTGACGGCCACACCGCAAAGACTTGGTTAAAGACTTGGTTGTCTTTAAGCCATTTTGTAACCACATTGGTTATGCTTAGGGTCATTGTCCATTTGGAAGACCAAACTTTAACCTCCCGGCTCATGTCTTTAGATGTTGCTTCAGTGTTTCTGCATAATGTTCTTTCCTCTACTTTCTGAAGCGCACCAGTCCCTCCTGCAGCAAAAACCGCTTCACACTGCGATTCTGCCACCATCCAATTAACTCAAACATGTTAGCCTATCAGAAGTTTCCAAAGCCATGACATTATCATCATCATCATCATCATCATCTGGGCTTTCCTCTACTGAATAAAGAGACGGTAATCATTCTGAATGTGAACTTCAAACCTCATTACATTGTCTTTCCATGCAGAACTCCTTCTCAGTGCTACATGCAGTCCACTAGGCTGGTGATAAATCTGCCAGAGGCCGGAGAGTGTGGAAGGCCACAGAAAGCACATGACACTCTCACAAATGGCGTGGCTGATAGAGTGAACTGCCTTCTGGGGGATTATGTTGAGAAACTGGACAGCTACGGCATCAGCTCCTCTGTTATGTGGTACAAAGTGAGTAACGAACAATCCTTCATAGGCCTGGTCTACATGAACCCGGCAAAATCAGTGGACCACAACTTGTTTTCTATTATTCCATTATTGTTGTGAAACCATTTTCTATACAGTCAGTCAAGAGAATTTCTACAAGACTTGGTGGAGTAAAAAGCTTCCGTTCTTATGAAGATGAGATGAATGCCTTCCTAAATATGTCTAACTTCAACTTTCTGCATCTGGTTTCATGCTGCTGAGTTTTCTGCAACAGTTTCCTCTCAATAGAACCGCAGTTCAGGAAAGTCACGCCTGTCCCTTTAGGAACAAAGTACAAAACGAGATAAAAAACTTGTCCTCCACCCTTCAAAAGAGGATAATCATAGCCTTTTTATTATTATTATTATTAAGTTATTAAATCATACTGAGTCCTTATAGAGTGCATCTTCTGTAAAGTTAAACATCGGTTTTTTTTTGTTCACCCAACTCAGGGCTGTGATCCCATACCGAAGGACCCAAGCAGCCAAATCTACTATGACAAGAACAAGCTGGCTTTCTACAAGGTGAACACTCAAGACAACGGCAATTATACCTGCACTCTGACCTTTACCCTCGATGGGGTGACGGTAACCGTGTCGGAGACCACCGAAGCAACGGTCAATGGTCAGTTCAGATCAGACTATATTTATACATAATGGCAAAAATGACTCGTATGACCTACTTTCGAAGTGTCCGGTTAAATATTTCAAAAACAGGTTTTGGACTTGTTTGCTTTTGTATGACCTTGTTCCAGTTCATTCTTTCTGTTCGTTTGGATTCTTTTTTCAGGTGTTGGGTTTACTTTGTGAGCGTTTCTGTTCAGGTTTCCCTCCAATGTCGTTCTCTCTTCTTCTTCTCTTTTATGGCGATCGGAAGCAACTTTAATGTGCACACCGCCACCTACTGTGCATGAGTGTGTAGCAACACTACCATTCAATTCTATTTTTTTAAATTACGCCATTATGCCAAGGATGGCAGAATTAAATTGCAAAAAAATAAATAAATGGTAAAACAAAAGAGATGATCAAATAGTATTAAACAAAATCATACTTTATTTTTTTCTCTCTTTTCAGATAACTACTCCCTCGCTCCACAAGTTCATGAGCCGCAAAAAGAAATAATCAAGGAGGCAATAGGTGAGGTCTCCCAATGAACATGTTTTGCTTTTATAAATATGCCTGCCTGTTTGAAATGTTTCCAGTTTTTAATCACTACAGCCTTCTGTGTTTCAAACGTCCATGCAACGTTCTTATCCGATGCACAAAGTTTTCTCGAACATATCTAGTTTATTTTACAAAAGCATAAATACATGCAGATTTGTTTAGTACAGTTCATTTAACTGGTCTGCCCTTCGTCTTTAAAGACTTCAACATACCGAGCAAGACATGCCAAATAATATCAAATTTAAAAAAAGACAAAATTCAAATAAATCAGTGATTTATCTCAGCTGAAGAATTTTCTCCTTTTTGCTTTTAGGGTCAAGGTTCACAAAGCGGTGTCTGGTGTTTGTGCCCGGTGTTGGGATACCGTTCGTTGACGTCATTTGGTTGGTTGATAGAACGGTCATGTTTGATTCTCGGCCGTCTGAACGCATCTACACGTCAGATCTGCGGTTGGTACATTTCAGTCAACGTCTGCTGGTGGGAAAACGATGCCACCTTTTAAGGGCGACACGTTCAATGACTTGATATATTTAACAGTTTGTGGACCCAAGATAAACCGAAGGGTGTGTGGCTCGAACGGCTGCTTATCTTCGCCAAACTGAAGAAGGAGGATTTCTACATAAACTACACCTGCAGGGTTTTCAGTTCCCGAGGCTATCCGGATGAATATTTTACTTTGTTACCAACAGGTAAGGCCTGTGGGCATTATGGGCTCTAGCAATACAATAATCTCACGGTACAATATACAATATTCTGATCACAATACATCACAATATTTGGCAAACAATTTGATACAATTCGATACGATTTGATGCACTTTTACGACTTTGTGAAAGATTTTAGAAGGACAGAGCGATTTTAGCGACATTTTGTGTTCCAAAGACTTGGATTCAATTAACTGAAAACTGTTAAAAGCACCGACTACACAATACCCGACTCTGATTGGACAGAGTCTAACAGTCTACAGCTGGACAAAATGAATCAAAGGTGCAGTGAGAAAGTTAGCTTCTGTCATTTAATTCATGTGGATTTGATGTAAAAGTCAAAGTTTCAACAATGATCCAGGAGCTCAGTGGGGAGATTATCAGCCTCTAGAGTCTAGACTGTCAGTATGCAAATGATGGCACTGATGTTGTTCTTTTGGACATACTGAAGCTGCATTTTGGAGTAAAGAAAGTCTTTTGGACTCTAGGGAAAAGGCTTTTCTACCTTGGCTCCCGGAGTTAGCCGTGGATGTTTTGCCTGTCGCAATAAACAATAAATCAATTAATGGCACAATAAATGAAAGTTATCGACTATTTTTAATTTATCGGCTTTATCGTTTCTTCCGGCCGTTTTCTCTTTCTGTTGACACTGGATGGAAAAAGGCTCAACTCCGGTGCTCTCCACACACCCGTCCCTTTGTCATTTCCTTATTGCCCAGTTAACGCTCCATGTCGATCGTCGCCCTTTCACAAAACCTGAGAGACCACAAACTAGCAGATAAAACACCGTAAGTGTAACTGGTTCAATCGGGTTCGAACGTGCAGTGTGTCTAGCTACACGGCAAGAGCAACACACCACACACACCAACCGATTCCTCTCACCGACATTCACATTTCAGACAGCAAATCCCGGAAAAGCCACTGCATTAGGGTGACCAGACGTCCCTGATTTCCGGGGACAGTCCCTCTTATTGGTGACCTGTCACTGGCTGAAGCCGTCCCCGGAAAAGTCCCAGATTTTAGCATTTATGACAGAGGGAAAAAAAGTTTCCTATAGATCGTTATTACGGTAGCTGTAACAATCTTTTCCACCGGCTCGACTCGGCAGGGAACAGAAAGCGTGAGTGAGGGAGTTGCGCGCAACAACAGCAGTTACGGTAGCTGATCGTGCTACCGTTAACGTTACAGAGAAGAAGAAGAGCATCGTAGGCAACCGCCAATAAAAATGAAGAAGAGCAGCCCGCGCTGCCAGAAATGGGAGCTACGAAGGGGAGCTGATCTGAAATGGTACGTGTGAAACAACGTGTTTGGTTTGAACTGGGCTAATCTTTGGCGTTATAAAGATTTGGTTCACGGTAAAATAAAACTAAGCTTTTATTAACAAACACCACAAAACAAGAGCACATAAGCAGCTACAGAATTAGCCAGAGGGAGAGAACTAGTAACAGGAATGTCAAAAATAAATCACTGTAGAGGAAAATATATTGGAATTAAGCGGTATTTTCAAAGCTAGATATGATTTTATACATATGAAGATTCTCACAAAAATTGGCTCACTCAGTGAAAATATAACTGATTGAAGAAGAGCATTAACTGAAACTGATGAGGATGGAGAGATCGTCTCTTCTGTTCGTTTAGTTCAAACTTTTTTTTGCTAAATGTGGCATTTTTGAGATTTCATCAGCTGATGAAAATTTTTTTTATATTTATACTAAGATTTTTCTAGGAAGAATCCAGCTCCTCATCTCAACATGAACAAATTCTAAAAGAGAACTAATCTAATTGCATTTATTAAATTGTACATTTTCAGTATGTCATATACATGCTAATGATTTTGGAGGAGATTGTGATATGCGTCTGTCTAAGAAGCTGACAGGAGGAAAATATTCTGACAAACTGAATGAGTGAGGAAGATGAAATATAATCATGTTATTATTTAATATGTAATATATTAAACATCTTGCATTTTAAGTGTTTCTCTAATATTCTTGTGATGTTTCTCAGTTTTTCACATAATCTTGTCTGCCCCTATTCTATCCAGATGTCTCCTGATGGTCACGAGGCTGATGGCTCTTCACACAGAAGAGGGTTTTCAGATCCAGACATGAAGAGATGAGCTCATGTCGGTGGACTTCCTGACCAGAGTTCACTCACCTCAAACACACACAGTGTCCTCACATATCAACTACATAACGTTACACACACACCTCGTGTATTTATGGACGCTTTCGTGTCCATTCATGCACAACACTCACTTGTGGACAAAGTTGTTGGTGTCTTCTGTTAAAGACTGAGAAACCCACAGTGTCACTGAAACAACTTGAAACTGACAAAAGTGATAAATGAAGATTTACTGAAATTAAGGTTTAACAGAATAAGAAAATGACTACAGTTGCTCCTGGACTGGAGCCAGCCTCCCTGGCTGTGGCCACAGGAGGAAAATCAATGACCAATTCAAGAGAATTATGATATGAATGGTTACTAAGAGTCCAGAACTTTACAGTTCACCTGTAAAAACTTCATGAGAGATGACCAAGGAGGAAAGCAAATCATTACAAAGTGAGGCTGGAATTTACCACAGAGACCTTTGGACAGATGAGACAAAATGTCCATCAGCTCTATGATCACAGACACAAAAATACTAATAAGTTTTAACTACCATCATTTTAATTGAGCCACAATCTAAATCAGTTTGTCAGTAAACATTTTTTACTACTTTCGTCAGTTTCAAGTTACTAGTAAAGTTACAAGTAACGTAGTTACTGTGTGGAGAGACACACTCCTGCTTTTATATTTGATTTTCAATGTTTAAATGTTAATAAATACGTCAACTGTAACTGTCCCAGTTTCTTCATTTTATTTTGATGAATTTGCTTTTTCTTTATCGCTGAGCAAGAAATGTCCCCAGGTTTAGTCTTGGAAATCTGGTCCACTGTGCATTATGACATAAGCTGTGCACAAATTGGAATTATAGAAATAAATTAGCTTATTGAAAACACTATTTTTAAATTTATTTTTAATAAAAACATGCTTTTTGATAAAAAGTTTTTTTGCGCGAGGATGAAGTGGGAGTGGGGGGTTTTGGCAGTATCAAAATTTGTATATTTTGCAAACCGCCAGTAGAAATAGTCATGTGATCAAGAACCTATAGGTCACGGCTGAAAATGACAGAGATTGTATTGATGACTTGCAAGAGAATAACGTTAATTGTCCCTCGCTGGGGAAATCATGGCGTCTCAGCAGCAATGAAAGCATGCAGATTCCCATAAAACTGAAAAAAAGAGTAAGAGTAATTGCCTTCAACTCTGAGCATTTCTAAAGGTGGAAAACAAAGAGTTCGCCTCTGTGCTCTTTACAATGAAAATCAAACTGGTTTTTCTACATCACTTCCAATCAAATTTCAGCAACAAGGCAGTTCAAAGTGCTTCATTTTACAAAAACACAAAATGCAACAACTGAAACATTGCATTTTTCTTGGTGCAGCCATGACACATCAAAATGTTTGTTCAAGGTTCATTAAATGTGGTACAAAAGCAACTATAAACAGGTCCGTTTCCAGTCTTGATTTAAAGGAGCTCAGTGTTTCGGCTGTTTTGCAGTTTTCTGGAAGTTTGTTTCAGATTTGTGGTGCATTGAAGCTAAATGCTGCTTCTCCATGTTTGGTTCTGGGGATGCAGAACAGAACTAGAAGACCTGAAGTGTCTGGATGGACAGCAGCAGATCTTGAATGCATCGTGGCGCTGAGCCATTCAGTGATTTATAAACTAACATTATTTTTTAAAGTCTGCTCTCTGAGCTTTAGGAAGCCAGTGTTAGGACTGTAGAACTGGGTTGACGTGCTCCATTTTCCTGGTTTTAGTCAGAACGTGAGCAGCATCATCAATATTGAGATTTCGCAGCAGATTTGAACATTTTTCAGAAAAAAAAAACAATTGTTTTTGAGAAAATTTTAGTTGGGGAAATCTTTTTTTTTTCCTCAATTCAATAATTGGAAAACTTCCAGAACAAATTTATAACTACATAGCTAAAAACTCAATATTCCCAATGTAAATTGATTTTTCTCTGTCATTTCTTGTTCCCACAGATCCGAACATCATCCTTCCCATCGGATTAGTCTTTGGTGGAGTGACTGTTCTCTTCGTCATCAGCGTCACCGTCTACCACGTCTTCAGGATAGACATTGTGCTGAGCTTCAGGAGAGCATTTCCAGTCCTTTATACAAACAAAGGTACCACTTAACATCAGAGGCAGAGCTAATATGTATTACAACACCATGACTGGAAATAAAGTGGAAAGGATTTGAAGCAAGAATTTAAAAATGGCCTTTGTTTGATATATTCTGTGTAACTTGGAACATTCGCATGATTTTGACTAAAACATACTCACAATTGAGTACACAAAATAGCTTTTTTTCTCACTTTGTCCAGGTTTTTTTTTTTTAAGAAAAAAAAAAACTTAATGCCTAATAATTACCACAATATAAAAGGAATAAATTGTGTTTTTGTTGCGGGCTGCAGAGCGGACCAGAAGGTGGCGCTGTTTCCCTGTACCGAGGAGGTGGAGCGGGTTTTTTCTGATCGGAGTGTGCATGTTCTTCTCATTCATGTCCTCCCTTAATTTGAATCATTCATTTTAGGTTGACAGGTCCCTGCAAATTTCATTTGTGCATTCATGTTTTTTTTTTTGTTGTTGTTGTTGTTCTTTTTCATTTTCTGGAGCCATCGTTGTTTGACTTTGTGCAATTTTGTCTGTTTTCTGAAAGCAAGCTTTTTATGCAACTAATTCAAATTTATTTCCAGATCTCGATGGGAAGCTGTACGATGCCTATGTGGCGTACCCCAATCCTGGCGCCTCCGGGTTCAGCGACGCAGTGGAGAAGTTCGCCCTGCAGACGCTGCCTGAAGTGTTAGAACAGGCCTGTGGCTACAAACTGTTCATAGCGGGCCGTGACGGCCTGCCGGGGCAAGGTGAGTCTGCCATGTGGGAAAGTTAGCTTCTTAAGCTCATTTCGCACTGGCGTGAAACCCCAGTCTGAAGGCAAACTGTGCTGTAAGTCCGGGACTTATGGAAGAGTGGCAAAAAAAAAAGACAATATAACAAAGACATGGATATGACATGTACTTTTAAACATAATTTCTGCTGATTTAACACCCTAAATACGTCTATATGCGACAACGTACACTAGAGACGCCATCTTGAACAACCTCACAAATCACGGGTGCTTTCCCAAGCAAAAAGAGCTCTTTCAAATAACGCATCGGTGGGCTACATCTTGCGCAGAAACAATGTTACAAAATTATTTCTTTCGTACATGACGGTATATTTCCGCAATCTTAAGCGGAAATATATCTGCAGTAATGTCCAACAGGACGGCATTCCCATTTTCCCCTTTAGCTCGTCCAAGTCCTCACTCAGCAGACTGAAGTCCACTCATCTGGTTTGCCATTTCACTTGGCAAACCAGATGCCAAGTGAAATGGCAACAGTGAAGCCAAGTGAAGCGGACCAGCAGTGCCACCTGCTGGTCCGCTCTGCACCCGCCACTGGCCAAATGTGGGTAAAAGTATGAAGTGGCGTGTACATTGGACCAACTCACCCTCCACAATTTGAACTGCAAAAAAAAAAAGAAGCTGTATTCAGTTTGAACTTCTGTCCAGGGGGACAAACTACTGCACATACTGTATATGGGACGGTACTGCGCTGTCATTATTTAACAAAAAAAAGTATAATTTTTATTGACGCCGATAACCCATTGGTTGATTTTATTGATGGATATTGGGTTTGCTGTTATTACTTCAAGTGAACTTATTGCTTTACAGCTCCGTTAAGGTGTCCATGCCTTATGTTGAATCAGTCTGTGTATGTACATATGTACGGTAAACTTATTGTCAGAAAATCGGTTTTCATTGAGTTAAGAATAAATCGTACATTTTATATAATTTGCTTGTGGGGTTTGTAGTCAAAAGAGAAAAAAAACAGCGACTGAAATGTCTGAGTGGCCTGTAAAAATAATTTCAACATTTTAATTTCCTTGTCACTCCTGGGGTGGTTTGGGATAGTTGACATGAATATCCTGCTCTACACTTTCCCCTCACGGTTTTTCATCCCTCTCTGTGCTTTCTGTCTTCCTGCAGCCATCGTGGACTCTGTGGATGAGAACCTCCAGGCGAGTCGTCGTGTTCTCCTGCTCTACACCGCTTCCACTTTCATCAAAGAGAGGCACACGAGCGGCACCGGCAGCAACAACAACAACATCACCAAGACTGGCGAGGAGGTCGACCAAATCCAAAGTAGGACCAGTGAGGGCGACGGCAGCCTGGGTTTTGGTGGTGACGACAAAACGTTTTCGGACACAAGGCAGCATCTGGAATGTGTGGCATCCCTGAACAGAGCGCTGCTGGAGGGCTCCTTAAAGGTGATCTTATAATGTAGCCACAGAAAGTCACAATTCAGCCAACAAGCAACTCCTACTCATACCAAAGTCTCCCAGTGTCCTCAACAAAGAGGTTCTAATGGAGTTCTGTCCTCTCAGGTCATTCTGGTGGAACTGGAGGAGATCACCCCGGCCCAGCTGGCCGTCTTCCCCGAGTCGGTTCGCCACCTGAGGAAGAAACAGGGCGCCGTGTGCTGGTGGAAGGCTCTCCAAACGAGGCAAAAACGGAGGACGAGGAGAGAAGACGAGGGAAAGGACTCACAAGTGTCTCCGTCCCTCTCTCCTTCCTCCAGGTTTTGGAAAGAAATTAGGTATCATATGCCAGTTAGAGGCAAGAGGGCAGTTTATCCAGAGAAAACTGCCTTGTTGAACTTATGACCCAAATGGTCAGAGGACATTTTTGCCACTTCTTGTCAGTTAAGGGTCCAGTGCTGCGCAACATGTACAGAAATCGAAGAAACCTCAAAACCATTTGATGTGTGTAGCATGACAGCTATTCCTGAAGACAAGAGTTGGAATTATTTTCTAAGTGTTTATGTAAATAATTGTAAATACAATTGTAAAAGTTCTGAAAGTATTTGTACATATTTGGTCTTGTTTATAAGGTTGTATAGAGAAAATGAAAGCTGTGAGTTTTTTGTACACTAAAAATATAAATATAAGCCGTTGGCAAAACAGTGAAATGACTCTCCCTCAAACGTTTTTGAAAATATTCTGGCATTAAACATAGTTTCAAAGACTTTTAAATAAAAGAGAAGTTCATCAAAAATACACTCAACAATTATTCCCTGGTCAAGTTGATAGCGGATGGGTCTCGCCTACTCTGGAGGGACGATGGGCGGGCTTTGTCTCTCAGATGGCTTCCACGTAGTTGGCGGGCAGCATGCCGGTCTTGCCGGTGCGCTGCACGGTGCCGTACATCCGGCCCTCGTTGATGAACTGCACGTTGATGATGACGTCGCCGTCTTTGAACGACACCTCGTCGCTGTCTGCCGCCATGTCGTCGTTCATGGCGCGCACGGAGGGGTTTGAACCCTGTGCACTTCATTTTCCACGCTTTGGTTTTTCCGCGGCCGACCACTTTGAGGATGAGTCGCGTTTGCTGCCGATCGCTTTCATCTCGTCATAATGTCAACAGCAGCTGACTGGGGAATATTTGATGGTGACAAATACTCACCACACGAGGATTTGGATTTGCCTTTGTTCCCCCATTTGAATCGGTCATTATTCTCTACTTTGTATTGCGTTCATAATAACATTGGAAATACATGGTTTTAAGGCTTAGACGGTTTTTGCGACCAATCCAGGGCAGGAAGTCTGAATGGATGTGAATTCTTATTGTTTGTCTTTGTTTCAGTCATGGAACAAAAACAACTGTAGAAATCCAGATCCGAGAGCCTGAACAATGCAGGATGGGTTGTTCAGGCTGAGCAAAGCCAAAATCAAAAATGACAAAAAAAACACTTTCGTCTGTAAATGTGAGAATTGGCAGTTGTGAATTACCAACCGACTTTAGAGGTGAAAGGGGTTTCGGGCCGTTTGCCTGTGGACAGGTAATGATGAGGACTGACTCATAACTGAATACAGATGCAGGTTCGCTGAGAAACCTTCAGCTCAGTGAGAAAACCCATGACTCAGCATTTCTGGAAAGCAGCACAATGTACTTCTCCACCTGCAATTCTGGATTTACGTTTTCCGATTTGTGCGGCACTTAAAGTCACTGAAATGTCCGTGGACCTTTGAAAACTGTTGTCTTTTGAGCCGACTGGGACACATCGCTTCTTTTTAAGCCTTTACCTTCTTACCTGGGTTGTGTGTTGCTCCATCCCTTAATTTGAGAGGTAAAGGAAAAAGTCAATTCGAAGGCGAACAAGAGGCCGTCGACTGGTGACGACGTTGAACCACAGAACTCAGGAATCGAAACGTAACTCGAAGTTTGGCCAAGAAATAAAAAACGGGTGAATCAAATATGGCTAGTTTGAAAATATAAACAGCAACATACATGGTGGTTTATCCAGTGAGGGGGACAAACCACAAACCGGTCAAATCTGAACCACAATTTTCCCCGTAGAGGAATTTTGGAAACATTTTTTCCACATGACCACAAATGTGAAACGAAAACTCACATTTTGAACCCAGATTGTGAAGCGACTCATTTCATTTGATTTCAGGACCTGACACTATATTTTCCTGCCAATAACAGTAGCTGTATGACTTGGTATCCTCTCTTTTGTTTTTGTTTTTTTGTTTTTGTGAAAGTCAAATCCAGCAATCTTTTCCTTTAACACTTGTTAAATAGCGGTTAGTTGTGAATTTGTGATTTCAGTGAAGAGAAGATTTTTCATGTAGGCAGTAATTAAACTTTGTAAGCTGTTTGGTTTTCAAAGCAGGTGAGTGGGTGTGTGTGGGTTTCACTGAAATGAATGTATGTCAAAATAAATATTTTGGACTGATAGAAGTACAAAGATGAGTGTGTGTGCGCGCGTGTGTGTGAATATTTTCTTGCTGCGCCTGGCTTTGAAACCTTGAAGCAATGTGCTGGTGTTTGGGGCTTCCCCTGCACATTTCCAAGGCTGACATGGTTAATATTTGTGTTCATCTGGTTTTCTTTATGGGTGAAACTTCTCAAACAAAGATCAAGGAAAAAAATGTTCAATAAAAAACATAAAAACAGACTTACAGGTAAACTTAAAGAGAAACAAAAATCTTTACTTACACTAAATATACATTTTGTTCTTTTTAAATTCACACATTTCTGTCTTTCAAAGTCGAAAGGCAAAAATCCAACACATATGCTTGACACTGACATAATTAAAGTGAAGGGAGCATCATTGTTGTCTTTGCTCAGTGAAATCTCCAGATTCGCAGGGAGTGGCCAAGGAACCACAATGTGAACAACCTCACATCTTGGCTTCACACTCTTCCTTTTTTCTTGTGTTGTTTCGTGGAGGTGGAACCAAGCTGGTGGCGAACCAACTGAGCTGCATGGTGGAGACGCCACTTTACACGCAAGGGTCAGAGGTGAGGTTTCCTCTCTTTGCTCTGGCGTCCCGTGTGAACTCTCTAATCCTTCCTGTGTCTCTCGCCGCATTGCACGTTGCTTAATCTCAGGTGAGTCAATGCACTTTGCATGTTTGTTTTTACCTGAGGGTACACATTTTTTAAATTTTATTTCCGATATATATATATATATAGAATTGGTATATATATTGGTATTTATATGTATATATATTTATTTTGTTTTTTTTTTTGATCCCTCTAACATCACCCGCACACTTTCATTTACATTAAGAGGAAGCAAACAAACACACAGCACTCAGGGCTCAGTGTTGAATATCCAACTGAAGAGCTTTTTAAGTCCAACTTCAAAAGGAGGCTCACTTCCTTTCTATTTCTGTCGCAGATGGAGAAACTGCAGAAAGAGTCACTATTCTTAAGCAATGTATCACAAAGCATGTATAGTAAGGCTTGGTGATGCAACACCTTAAAATGCATCTGTCTGCAGCTGGTGTGGACGTCTTAGCAGGTGCAAGACAGGTTGTTGATGTTCAATGAACCAGCTAATGGGTTTCATCTATGACTCTCCACTCAGAGGAAAGTGCTAGAACAAGTCCCGCATGCTTGCACATCACCCTTTTTCTTAAATCAGGGTCCTTCTTTGATCTTGATTCGCCGCGTTGTGATCTAGCTTTGCCAGAGCGCAGGTTGCTCAGTTGTAACCAGGCTGGCTGAAATCTCTCACAGCATCTCACCACAGCACGCTGCGGTTTGTCAGACTGCATAGCTCTGTACCAAAGGAGCCATGAGCAGAAGATGGCTTTTGAAAACAGGAAGATCTAAAGATGAGAGTATTAGTGATAAATGCGCCGCCACCAAACAGCGGGAGACAATCTCCTGAATATCACAGGTTTTCCCAGCCATGCATAATCCCTCATTCAGTTAAAGTAAAAGTGACTCTTTATTCGAAGGGCTGTGCATCAGACTGTCATGATGTTGTCATAAATATGACATAACACTTTCTATGAACATGGAGGAGTCTTTATGAATATTTATGACTGTTGCCTTAGGATAAATAATGACACTTTTCTTTTAAAAAAGGTTTTATTGGCCCTAGTGGTCTTTATTTGAAAGCGGTCTGACAGAAAAGTGGGTAATGAGAGAAAGGGGAAGACATGCGGCAACTGTCGGCAGACTGGGAATCAAACCTGCGACCGCCGCCAGGAATAAGGCCTCAATACCTTGGCCGTGCGTCGCCACCACAGTTGCATTGATGACACTTTTAATGCAAAAAGTTGCTTTAAAAGTGACAATTTTCCTTTAAATTGTATATATTTAGCAAATAATGCAAAGTTGGCAGTTTCAATGCAATTTTTAAAGCAACTTTGCACTAAAAGTGATGACAGTCATAGACGTTTATAAAAAACTCCTTCGTGTTCATAACAAAGGCAGCGTCATATTTATGACAGTGTCATATCAGTCTTCTGACCACCCCTTCACATAAAGTGTTTCTGTTCATCATTATTATTCTTATTGTTATTACTGCTTTCTTATAATTAATTTCTTGAAGAGCCAAAGTGTCGTGACCTCATCAAGGTTTTTATTCAGTCCCTATCAAAGGAATTCACCCCCTTTGGGTGTTTACATTTTTTTTATGGCTTTTACAAATCGTACATAATCAACAAAATTATATATATATTTTTTTTTCCAAAAAAGGAAATGTCAGACTGATTTGTACAAAGTGACGGCAATTAAATAAAGCGGCTGGTGACTTATTCAGCGTCAGAAGCGTGTTGATGGCCTCCACTCTGTTATGATGTTGGGCTTTTTGTGACGAACTGCTTTAACTGCATGACTGTAAAATAGATCTAAAAGAGTTGCATCTTGTTTAATTGCCTTTAAAATGCTGTTGTTAGCTTATCAACCACTAAACGGTCGTTGAACTCAGAGTTTAACGACTTAACAATCGTGTTTTGGTCTTTGGGAGGAAGCTGGGTCCCATCCGAGGACCAGGACAAGAGTCAAAGTTAGAGACCTTCCAGTGAAACGGCGTTGAGCAATTTAGTTGACCAAGTCAGCATGAAGGCACGATTGTATGTCCTCAGGGTTGTGGTTATAGGAAGTCGTTGGGGTTGATCGAACTGCCCACTCGAGCGTGTCTTTGTTTTCTTTTCAACACGTTTTGTGGTTCTGTCGCTTTCTAACCTCAGAGGACCGAAAGGAAGCAGACAGAAATAAAGAGGGGGAGGCGTGAGGGGTTTCACGTATTTTTCTGCACTAAACAAAGACAAAGACCGACCAATCTCTTGACAAAAACATAGAGGTCTCTCTATGCCTGTCAGAAATATTCTATACCTGACATTTCTGTCAGGCATAGAAATCTTTTTGTCTTTATCGTCTGCTGCAGGTGAACAATACTTCTCTTGTTTAGGCAGAACTCGAAAAGATCTGCAGGCATTTCTGGCGTTGGCCGATATCGATCTCCACAGTTCATTATCAGACTTGCTGGGGGAGTTTTATCTTTTGTTCAGGATGTGCGCAGTTCAAAGAGGGCGAGTTAGAAGTGTGTTTTTGTTATGAGGTGTAAAGTTGATCTGAGAGATAATTAGTAATCAGTTTAATAAAAACACATTTTCCACACTTCCGAGCAGCCGCAGTTTAAGCAGCAATTTGAGTAGGAGGCATCGTGTAATTTCTGGGGACATAGTGTCCTTTTATTGCGCAGTCAAGTA